AAAAAAACCTGAATGAATCGATGTCATTCAGGTAAATGCTTGCTTATAGCAAAGTAATTTTTTGCTATAAGCAAATTGTGTAAAAAAAAAAAAATAAAAAAAATACTGATCACTTCCCCAAAGTAGTACAATGTTACTATGGTAACATTGTACTACTTTGGTCATAGTGAAATATGAAAAACAATCTTAAAAAAAAAAAAAAAAAATTTAATTAAATAATAAAAAAAAAATTATATATATATTTTTTTCATACTGTCACCAGTCAGTGTCCCTGATCACCTACATGCCAGTTATATGATGACGCTGTACTGCACTGGTGACAGTATGTAAAAAAAAAATAGTGAAAATAATTTTTTGCATTTTTCATTTTCTGAGAAATTATGACAAAATTACAACTTCAAAAAACTCGCCATGCCTCTTGTGAAGTACATCGGACTGTCTACTCTGCAAAAAGGGGTCATTTGGGGATATCTGTACTGTTCTGACATTCTTGGCCCTCAAGAAATTAGATTGGCTGTCAGTACTTCAGGATTGATCAATATTCAGATCTATCCCATAGTTTGTTAACTCTATAACTTTCCTGCAAACTAAATAATACATCCTAATTTGGGTTATTTACACCAAAGACATGTAGCAGAATACATCTCGGCCTAAATTTATGAAGAACAATTATTTATTTGCAAACGTTTATAACAGAAACAAAGAAAAGCGTGTTTTTTTTTTTTCTTCAAAATTTTTGGTATTTTTTTGTTAATTTAGCAAAAAATAAAAACCCAGGCAGTGATTAAATACCACCAAAAGAAAGCTCTAGTTGTGTGAAGAAAATGATAAAATTTTAGTTTGGGTACAATGTTGTATGACCGCACAATTGTCATTCAAAGTGTGAGAGCGCTGAAACCTGAAAAATGGCCTGGGCAGGAAGGGGGTAAAAGTGCCCGGTATGGAAGTGGTTAAGTAATGAGCCTGTGATGAGACCCTCCCATCCTTGATTTGTTCTTCATTCTAAATAAAGGGCAGCAGCTCAGGTTTGGTTTCACTTTCACAGAACTAGCATGTGGCAAGTGTTTTGCTGCATCAAAATGACTAAGTGTGAATAGATCCTAAGGCAGTGATGGCGAACCTATGGCACGCGTGCCAGAGCTGGCACGCAGAGCCATCTCAGTGGGCATGCCAGGAAGAAGAGGAAGAACGCGCTCTCCTGCGCGCACCCCGGGGCGCGCGCACCGAGCGATCTCCGTGATCGCTGTGTCCTACGGACACAGCTGATCACGTGACGTGGTAAAAGGCCAATCACAGCGGCCTTTTACCACGTGATCAGCCGTGTCCAATGACACGCTGATCACCGGGAAATGCAAATGCCGGTTCTCGGCTGCACTTTCCTCATGCTGTCAGATCGTGAGGAAAGTACTGCCCGAAAACCGGCAGTTGTCAGAGCAGGGAACGGCACCGATCATCAGAGTCACTGATCATCAGTGCCCTGATGATCGGTGCCCAGCAGTGCCACACACAAGTTCAGCCCACCTGTGCCCAGCAATGCACCCACCTGTGCCCAGCAATGCACCCACCTGTGCCCAGCAATGCACCCACCTGTGCCCAGCAGTGTGCCCACCTGTGCCCAGGAATGCACCCACCTGTGCCCAGCAGTGCGCCCACCTGTGCCCAGCAATGCACCTACCTGTGCCGCCCACCTGTGCCCAGAAGTGCCACCTACCTGTGCCCAGTAGTGCCACCCACCTGTGCCACCCACCTGTGCCCACCAGTGCCACCCACCTGTGCCCACCAGTGCCACCCATCAGTGCAGCCCAGCAGTGCTGCCAGTCAGTGCCACCAGTCAGTGCCCACTGGTTGTGCCAGTCAGTGCCCAGCAGTGCCGCCAGTCAGTGTCCAGCAGTGATGTCAGTCAGTGCCACCTATCAGTGCTGTCTATCAGTACCCATTATCAGTGTCGCCTATCAGTGCCACCAATCAGTGCCACCTATCTGTGACACCTCCATTAATGCTGCCCATCAGTGTCACCCATCAATGATGCCCAGCAGTGCCGCGGTCAGTGCCGTCTGTCAGTGCCTCTAGTTGGTGCTATCAGTCAGTGCCGCTTATCAGTGCCCATCATTTCCTGCATATCAGTGCATCATCAGTGCCTCCTCATCAATGCTCACCAGTGCCGCCTCATCAGTGCTACCTTACTGTGCCGCCTCATCAATGCCCATCAGTGCTGCCTATCAGTGCAGCCTCACCAACGCACATCAAAGAAAAAATATTACCTGTTTACAAAATTTTAGAATAGAAGCAAAGGAAACCTTTTATGTTTTTAATTTTTTGCTCTTTTTTTTCATTTATAGTGCAAAAAATGAAACACCCAGTGGTGATTAAATACCACCAAAAAAAGCTCTATTTGTGTGAAAAAATGATAAAAATTGCATATGGTTACAGTGTTGCATGACCGCACAATTGTCATTGTTAAGTGCAACAGCACTGAAAACTGAAAATTGTCCTGGGCAGGAAGGGGGTAGAAGTGCCCGGTAGGCAAGTGATTAATTCCAGTGTTGGCACTTCGAAATAAAAAAGTTGGTTTTGTGTTGCAGTTTGGGCACTCGGGCTCAAAAAGGTTCGCCATCACTGTCCTAAGGGCTTGTTCACACCATGTCCATTGAGTTGTGTTTGCATTCCACTGTGCATGCCACCCTTCATTCTGGTCTCCATTACTTGTAAACATTGTGGAATGACTCCTAGGAACCTTTTTCTGAGCCTGGCATAGTTCTGCCATGCCCCATACAGTCCTGAAACACCACACCATAGTATAAATTGATCACACACACACTTTTTTTTATCCCTTTTTTTCTAACAGTCCCACTTTTGCAGTTTGTAGATCTACTGATAAATTAATAAAGAAACAAATGTACTTTCAGTAGGAATCCTGAATTGAAAATTATAATAATAATCGCAAGAATAGAAATGCAAAGACTACAAATTGAGTATCTCTTTACATTAGTGGGCAATGAAAAAAAAAATGCTCCCTTAGATAAGGAGTCATTAAAGTGCCTCTTTCTATTGGTGGTGAGTATAAAAGTGCTTCCTTACACTAAAAAATATTAGGAGAGATACTCCCAATAAACTTGTGGTCATTAGGGGAGATTCACCCTTACATCGGTGGTCATTAGGGGAGGTTCGCCCTTACATAGGTGGTCATTAGGGGAGATTCGCCCTTACATAGGTGGTCATTAGGGGAGATTCGCCCTTACATTGGTGGTCATTAGGGGAGGTCCGCCCTTACATCGGTGGTCATTAGGGGAGATTCACCCTTACATCGGTGGTCATTAGGGGAGGTTCGCCCTTACATCGGTGGTCATTAGGGGAGGTTCGCCCTTACATAGGTGGTCATTAAGGGAGATTCGCCCTTACATAGGTGGTCATTAGGGGAGATTCGCCCTTACATTGGTGGTCATTAGGGGAGGTCCGCCCTTACATCGGTGGTCATTAGGGGAGATTCACCCTTACATCGGTGGTCATTAGGGGAGGTTCGCCCTTACATCGGTGGTCATTAGGGGAGGTTCGCCCTTACATCGGTGGTCATTAGGGGAGGTCTGCCCTTACATCGGTGGTCATTAGGGGAGGTCCGCCCTTACATCGTTGGTCATTAGGAGAGGTCCGCTCTTACATCGGTGGTCATTAGGGGAGGTCCTCCCTTACACCAGTGGTCATTGGGGGAGATCCTCTCTTACACCGGTGGTCATTGGGGGAGATCCTCTCTTACACCGGTGGTCATTGGGGGAGGTCCGCCCTTACACCGGTCGTCATTGGGGGAGGTCCGCCCTTACACCGGTTGTCATTGGGGAGGTCCTCCCTTACATCGGTGGTCATTGGGGGAGGTCCGCCCTTACATCGGTGGTCATTGGGAGAAGTCCGCCCTTACACCGGTGGTCATTGGGGGAGGTCCGCCCTTACACCGGTGGTCATTGGGGGAGGTCCGCCCTTACACCGGTGGTCATTGGGGGAGGTCCGCCCTTACACCGGTGGTCATTGGGGGAGGTCCGCCCTTACACCGGTGGTCATTGGGGGAGGTCCACCCTTACACCGGTGGTCATTGGGGGAGGTCCGCCCTTACACCGGTGGTCATTGGGGGAGGTCCGCCCTTACACCGGTGGTCATTGGGGGAGGTCCGCCCTTACATCGGTGGTCATTGGGGGAGGTCCGCCCTTACATCGGTGGTCATTGGGGGAGGTCCGCCCTTACATCGGTGGTCATTGGGGGAGGTCCGACCTTACAGCGGTGGTCATTGGGGGAGGTCCGCCCTTACAGCGGTGGTCATTGGGGGAGGTCCGCCCTTACATCGGTGGTCATTGGGGGAGGTCCGCCCTTACAACGGTGGTCATTGGGGGAGGTCCGCCCTTACAGCGGTGGTCATTGGGGGAGGTCCGCCCTTACAGCGGTGGTCATTGGGGGAGGTTTGCCCTTACAGTGGAGGGCAGCGGAAGGAATGCCCCTTACACTGGTGGTCACTATAATACCTCCTGAAAAATGATGTTGGGATCAGATTCACGCTGGCACCATCCAGTAGGAAATCAGTCCACTTGTCCTCATTGATCAAGGAACCCTTAGCCATCTCTGAAGGACCCCCTGTCATTCACAGGGACGTGAGTGAGAATATTGTTTTAAGTGATGCACACCGGAGAGGAATTGTTACAAGTCAGCAGTGACTATTGTTCTTATGTATGTCAGTGTGTATTATTCTCATTGTCGGGGTCGGTGTGATTGTAATCAGGGCTCTGTGATGAAATCATTAGTCTGCTTGGAGCTATCATTGCTCTTGTGATCTCCTTTAATCTCTCAGCCTTTTTCTCCTCTCTGCCCTGCTATTCAGGGACTGCTGTTTGATATTTTATGTCTCTGTTGGTCCAGAATAATAACTGACTTCCCTTGGGCTTCTTTTTCTCTTCCAGTACTGCTTGTCAGGGCATCCCACGCTACCATGCAACATCCTCAAGTTCAAATCCACCACCATCATGCTAGACTGCGGTCTGGACATGACATCCACCCTGAACTTCCTTCCTCTACCTCTTGTGCACAGGTACGTCTCGAGGGCTGGGGCGGCTGACTGGGGCCTAGCTTGCATAGCAGCTGAAATTTCATATCAGGCTTGCAGGGACTGTGCACTACCTGTGCTAGCTGATGCCATGAGCAGGAATAAGTGACACAGACAAGCTTAAAGGATAATTTCAACTTTTAAAAAAATAATAAAAAATGCACATCTTTTTTTACAGGTAAAGAAATGTGCATTGATCATTTTTTGTTACTTGGAGCCTAGAAAGCTTTGCACCTGCAATCAGCAGGTCACGGGTGCAATGCAGGACTCCTGCAGACTTGCCAGTGTATCCGTGTGCTTGTACCTCATACGGGCAGGCAAATACACACTGACTGGAAGAGACAATGAACTACCACAGCAGTCAACAGCACCATGGTAGTATGTTGAGAACTACAAACCGACAGCCACAACGGCTGTTGGTATTTGTAGTTTTCCATTCCCAGAATTCTGTGAATGGAGGACACTTGCTTCTGTGAATAGTGACAGCTAACGGGAGAGAAGATCCTCGGCTATCTGTCACTAGATGCAGCAGAGCGGCAGTGGGAACATGTTGCATTTTCCACCCTAAACATGGGTGTAATATATAACACGTTCCCAAAGGTGAGCTTATCCTTTAAAGACTAATTCCTCATTTAATTTCCTTTTAAATCGTTTGGGCCAAGTTGGCCCACATAAGCTATTTCCTGCACTAACAGCTGAGCTTGCTGGGCACACTGTATTATCTGTATGTAGCCTCGGCTATATACAGTATACAGCGTTGTGTTCTGGCAGGACAACGGTAACTTCCTGTCCCACATCTGGAATAAAATAGAATCAGATTAAGTGCTGCTCAGCTATTCACATAAAGCTTTGTATTCTATGAATGAATACAATGCTTCCTGTGATTGGCTGAGACAGAGAGGCGGTCACAATCTCTGCCTCAGCCAATTCAAGGAAGCTTTGTATTAATTTATAGAATACAAGATTTACCATGAATGGCTGGGCAGCACTTAGTCCGAATCTATTATATTCTGGGTGTGGGATGGGAAGTTGGAACAGAGCGCTATATACTGTATGTAGCTAAAGCTACATACAGTTAATACTGCTCACCCACCAAGGACACGTGGTAATGCTGCAAATAGATTGTTTGGGCCAGATTGGTCAAACCAAATTATTTAAAGAAACATTAAAGTTAAAAAAATAACAAATGTTATACTTATCTGCTCTGCAGTAGTTTTGCACAGAGCAGCCTCAATCCTCCTCTTTTCAGACCTCCCACCAGCGCTCCTGGCTCCCCCACCACACCAACCAGTCCACCTGATAGTAAGCCGCTTGCTATGGGGGCACTTGAGCACTGTGCTCACTCCCAAGCCCTGCTCTATGCATCCATAAGACGCACAGAGCTGCGGCTCGGCTCCGTCCCCTGCTCTCTCCTTACTGGCTGTGGATGACAGCAGTGATAGCCAATGCCCCCTCATCCATAGAATGCATAAAGGCAAAAATACCTTCACTCTTTAGAACCACTTTAAATGTGGAGCCGGGCTTTAAAGCTGTACCCCAGACAAACCGCTTTAATACATATAACAGAACTGGACTGTAACCCCCACTAGTCCAAACCCAGATGGCTTATTCAAACTTTGTGTTTCAGTAATGGACAGGCATACATACATTTTAACCTTTGTTACCACAGTATACTGTATGTTAAGACATGGAAACAAATGAATTGTAGTGTCATTCATTCTGTATGTCACAATAATTTACTTGTGTCTTGGCTCTTTGCAAATATGTGATTCATCTGTCTATTGTGGTGTGTAAAAAAAAAAAAAAAAAAAAATGAGTGAAAGGAACTGAATTTGTTTCTTCCACTGTGTTTCATCAGAACCCAGAAATGACCGCAATTTTCTCACTTCTGGTTTTGGCTCTTTGTTACCGTCCAGTGAAGCAGCAGATCAGACCGGTCTGTGTCTAATTGGCTGCATTGGGGGCTAAAAGGAGAGATGTATTAGACCCCTGATCTCTCCATAAAGAGTACCTGTCACTGCTTATTGCTGTGAAAAGGGTTATGTACATTCCTTTTGACAGCAAAGAAAGCGATTTAAAAAACTAAAAACTGTAAAAAAATAAAAAATATTGAGATAAATAATGCAATTTAAAGGAAAAAAAATTAAAGGAAAACAAATTAAAGCGTCCTCCCATGCTTACTCGCAAAGGTGAACGCACGCAGCGGTCTCACACACATATGTAAACAGTGATCACACCATACATGTGAGGTATCACCGCAAACATCAGAGCGAAAGAAATAATTGAGATTTCCTGTGTAACTGTAAACTGGTAACCCGTACAGGCTTTTATAACATCATCTATGGATAATTTAAAGTACCGTAGTTTATCGCCATTCCACGAACATCGCAAAATTTAAAGCATGACATGTTTTGTATCTATTTACTCAGCGTAACATCATCTCATATACAGTTGCAAGAAAAAGTATGTGAACCCCTTGGAATTAATGAAGTTTTGCATGAATTGGGCATAAAATGTGCTCTGAACGTCATCTAAGTCACAACAATAGAAGAACACAGTATGCTGAACATAATACTACACAAACATTAGATGTTGCCATGGTTTAATTGCACATAACATGTAAACATTCACAGTGCAGGGAGGAAAAAGTATGTGAACCTTTGGACTTAATAACTGGTTGACCCTCTTTTGGCAGCAATAACCTCAACCAAACGTTTCCTGTAGTTGCAGATCAGACCTGCACAACGATCTGGAGTCATTTTGGACCACTCCTCTTCACAAAACTGTTTCAGTGTAGCAATATTCTTGGGATGTCTGGTGTGAATCGCTCTCTTAAGGTCATGCCACAGCATTTCAATCGGGTTGAGGTCAGGACTCTGACTGGGCCACTCCAGAAGGCGTATTCTGTGCTGTTGCAGCCATTGTTTTGTTGAATTACTTGTATGCTTTGGGTCATTGTCCTGTTGCATCACCCATCCTCTGCGGAGCTTCAGTTGGCGGACAGATGGTCGTACGTTTTCCTGCAAAATGTCTTGATAAACTCTGGAATTCATTTTCCCATCAATGACAACAATCCGTCCAGGCCCTGAGGCAGCAAAGCAGCCCCAAACCATGATGCTCCCTCCGCCATGTTTCACAGTGGGGATGAGGTTTTGATGTTGGTGTGCTCTGCCTTTTTTTCTCCACACATAGTGTTGTGTGTTCCTCCCAAACAACTCAATCTTGGTTTCATCTGTCCACAGTATATTTTGCCAGTAGTGCCTGTGGAACATCCAGGTGCTCTTTTGCAAACTTCAAACATGCTGCAATATTCTTTTTGGACAGCAATGGCTTCCTCCGTGGTGTCCTCCCATGTACTCCATTCTTGTTTAATGTTTTCCTTATTGTAGATGTGTCAACAAAAATGTTAGCATGTGCCAGAGATTTCTGTAGGTCTTTAGCTGACACTCTGGGATTCTTCTTTACCTCATGCAGCATTCTGCGCTGTGCTCTTGCAGTCATTTTTACAGGACGACCCCGCCTAGGGAGAGTAGCAACAGTGCTAAACTTTCTCCATTTGTAGACAGTCTGTCTTACCGTGGACACATGAACATCAAGGCTTTTGGAGATACTTTTGTAACCCTTTCAGCTTCATGCAAGTCAACAATTCTTGATTGTAGGTCTTCTGAGAGCTCTTTTCTGTGAGGCATGGTTCACATCAGACAACGCTTCTTGAAACCAGTAAACCCAAAACAGGTATGTGTTTTTTAAGGGCAGGACAGCTGTCAGCAACACATCCAATATCATCACACTGATTGGAGTCAAGGTTGGCTCACTCCTGGCTCCAATTAGCTCTGGGAGAAGTCATTAAGCTAGGGCCTCACATACTTTTTCCTCCCTGCACTGTGAATGTTTACATGTTATGTGCAATTAAACCATGGCAACATCTAATGTTTGTGTAGTATTATGTTCAGCAGACTGTGTTCTTCTATTGTTGTGACTTAGATGACGTTCAGAGCACATTTTATGCCCAATTCATGCAAAACTCCACGTAATCCCAAGGGGTTCACATACTTTTTCTTGCAGCTGTACTTTACCAAAAAATTGGTATTCTAATGTGTTTGTGTGCACTAAAATTGATAAAAGTTTACTTTTTTTTAAAATAAAATTTGCGTTTGAGAACCCGCTGCACAACTACCATGTGACATAATAAAAATGCAACACCCATCATTTTATTCCGTAGGGCCTTTGCTTCTAAAATATATAACTGCTGTTGCATCATTTTTTCACTTTGATTTTCGGGGTGTCTTTGAATTCAGTCCTCTATAGGTCGATCATTTTCATTTCCATCAAACAATGGGGCATCCTTACGTTCCTAACACATTACCCCATCCATATCAGTATAGAGATCCAGCTGGAGATTTTTCCCGACTGAGATCTGATGTGTTTTCACAGTGTTCCTTTCATTTTTTTGTTGTGATCCAATGCTTTCTATTTTTAAAAAAGGCACTGTTTACATCCTTGTAAACCGTAAGTGATGTGTACTTATTGCTTACTTTTTCCTATATCATAGAGCCAGACAGAGCGGTTTCCGACTTGGTCTACCTCTATGATCAGCCTGCGGACGTGGCGGCTGGTCGATTGGGTGTCCTGGATTGGACAGGGGGGCCTGCCAGTTACAGAAGGACCACAGAACAGTCCCCCCTGTACTGGAGTAGGCCCCCCATCAATTTTCCACACTGGCAAAAAGCACTAGTATCAACTGGTGGGAGAAGTGTTCAGGCAGCTTGTGATTGGCTCCTGTGGTTGAGCAAATCTTCCCCAGATTTAAAGAGGCACGCACCACTGGTACTGGAGAGGATGCTGGATTAACCCATAAGGGCCCGCACCCCCTCCCCTGACTTCTCCATTAAGATTAATAACACAATCATCAATCCCTCCCCTCATGCCAGGGTACTAGGTGTAATCCTAGACTCCCATCCGTCCTTTCAGCCCCAAATCCAATCGCTGTCCAAATCTTGTAGACTTCACCTCCGCAACATCTCCAAGATACGCCGTTCCTAACCTCGGAAACTACTAAGCAACTCATTCACTCTCTTGTTATCTCTCGCCTTGACTATTGTAACTCCCTCCTCATTGGCTGACTGAATCGCAGGCTATCCCCTCTTCACTCTATCATGAATGTTGCTGCCAGACTCATCCATCTTACTAACCATTCTGTATCTGCCACCCCTCTCTGCCAATCTCTCCACTGGCCTCCATTCAGTGTCCTCCACCCCTCTCTGCCAATCCCTCCACTGGCTCCCAGTTGCCCAACGGATAAAATTCAAAACATTAACACTGACATAAAAAGCCGTTCATAACACTGCCCCAAATTACATCACCGACCTTGTCTCTAAATATCACCCAAACCGTACTCTCCACTCCTCGCAAGACCTCCTACTCTCTAGCTCCCTTGTCTCCTCCTCCCATGCTCGTCTCCAGGACTTCTCCAGAGCTTCCCCCATCCTCTGGAACGTTCTACCCCAATCTATCAGACTATCACCTACTCTGCTCACTTTTCGGCGATCTCTGAAAACCTCTCTCTTCAGGGAAGCCTATCCTGCCCTCAGCTAATAATGGAATCTTCTATTCCTTCTACCAGTCCATCCCCCACAGTTATTACCTTTTGTACCACTAGCCCCTCCCTGTTAGATTGTAAGCTTCCAGGATCTAGGCCCTCCTAACCCTCTTGTATTGAACTGTATTGTTGCTGTATTGTCTCCCTATTTAAAGCGCTGAGCAAACTGTTGGCGCTATATAAATCCTGTATAATAATCTCTTAGATTGTAAGCTCCCAGGATCAGGCCCTCCTATCCCTCTTGTATTGAACTGTATTGTTGCTGTATTGTCTCCCGTTATAGTGTAAAGCGCTGAGCAAACTGTTGGCGCTATATAAATCCTGTATTATAATAATAAGCTGTTTTACTACCCCTGCACCCAGATGTGACAGAATTGTTAGCAATGCCTGTATACACCAGAGTTTTGGTGAGTGCGCACCCATAAGAAGTGGTGGATAATTTTTAAAGACACATGCACCATTGCACCTTTGGCACAGGCTTTATCGTTTGGTCAATTCCTGTTGAAATTCTCAGTTATTTATTTATACCCTTTTGAATACATATGATAATTATAGACTTTTTATCTCCACTTATTGCACCATATCACTTTAATATTAATTATTATAGATTTTGAATTACCATATATTGATTGATTGACATCATACGGAGATTATAGTTATTTATTCATTGCACATTGCACAGTTTAGCACGTATAGCACTTTATACGTACTGTGCACCTTCCATATACATATATAGATAATTACATACTTTGTGAAAGCGCTGCACTCTTCAGTTTTGTGATTACGTTACCAGGGATTGTTACCCATACCCTTTTAGTGCTAGCGGCTATCTGGTATAGTTATTATATAAATATCCTATGTGTATGCGCTCGCTTATACTTTTTTGAAATGATCGCATATATAGCACCATGGCAACTGCAAGTCAAACAGAGGCTAAGCTGGCTGGTAAAGATAGGAGGGTTTAGTTTCACTTTAATACATCAATAAATGTTATATTTAAAGGGACTCTAGGCTACTCTAATAATTTGGACTACTGAACACCTTCCCTTCCCATCTACATAACATGGGTGGGGGGTTCTGTAGTTCACAGGAAAGACCTGGAAAGCCTAAATACATAGTTTGAGATTCCAGTTCAGAGCACAGGGAGTCACAGGCCCACTGGCGGGATCATTGAGAATGCTCTGTACTTGCAGGGAATGTTCCTGCATACTGCAGCCCCTTCATCTAAGGACTGGTAAGCTGCAGCATATGACAATTATTTTCTTGGGTTACTCTACAGTTTTAAAATTATATTCATCGTTCCCGCTAGACATCTTGTTCTTCACATTACAGAAAAAAAAAATTGATTTTGAGACCAACCCAGTAAAGCCCATTAAATTGCCGCCATCATGTCTACTGGGAGCAGCAGGAGACCATTTCTTATCAACATTGCACTTGTAGAACGCTCATCAATCACCATTTCCTCCTGACTGCGCTGTGCTTTAAATTCCCACCACTCCCAAGAATCACACATTATTACCTGTGAATGATTTAATGGACAATTACTGTTCTCTGCCAGTTATTGTCTAATGACATTTAACACCAGAACATTACAGAGAGCTATAACCTTCTACAAATCTAAATACCTGTACAGAAACCTCAGCTAGGTGCCACCTTTCTCCATCTCCTGCTTGAAAAAAAATAAAGTGTCAGAATATAAAGCAGGACTCCGGCCTTCCCTTCAGTCTTGCACAGTTGTACCGGCTCCTCTCCTGTACTGTCCTCTTCTGTACTTATTCTGATTTCAGTGCACACTGTGAGCTTTTCACAATGTGCATCAGAAGCTACAGCAAGTCAGACCCTGCTTCATTTTCTGGCTGAAGGACCTCCAGCATCATGTTATGCTTTCCTCCCTAGCTTGATTGTTCTTGCCCCACCCCTTTCATTGGTTGAATTTTAGTTCTTTCAGTCATGAAGCTCTGCATCACATGTGGGTGTTACCTACATGCAAATACAGCCCACCTAGGAACTCCCATTTTACCAGACTGACATCCACACATTAACCTCCCTAGCGGTTTGATTATGTCCATATTTCTGTGCTCACAGTGGTACATTTTTTTTTCATGGAAATATGTATTTTTTTTATTGTAGGCTGTAATTTTTAGGAATAACTCACTGAAATCTGTACGAACAAGAGTCTAGTAAACATCCTGGGGTAGGATAAAATTTGAAAACACGAAATCATAAATTATAATTTAATAAATAATCATAAAATAATAATATAATAATAAATTTAATTCAATAATATCAAATCAAAAACAATTAAATTGAAATATAGCGCCAAGTTCGCACATCAAGTCGCAAAATCGTTTTCAGTGTCTGATGACGAATTTCCCCCCACAAATCATTATCACTCAATTCTGCAAGTGGTTCTGATTTACTATCGCTGTTTCTCTAGCTGGATCTAAAACCACTTTTGACCTAAAGGGACGCTTTTTGGACGCCATGGACATTTCTCAGATTCCAGGCAGAAAGAACAGTAAAAATGTAGGCAGGGCACAGGACAGAGCACTCGGGACAAAATGTATGTGAAATGGTTTGATACAGTAATGTTTTACTATGTGATTCTAGTGTATTTAGTGAATGTCACTTTTTGTCATTTTCAAATTTCCCGCCAGTTCCGTCCCCCGTACGTCCCGACACTCGCAGGGGACGGAACCCAGATGACAGATGCCGGCATCCGCCGGATTACATTGCCGGGGACACTGCAGGAGGGACATCGCGGGAGCGCAGGACACGGTAAGTGAAGAACAGATGCCGGAGCAGCACCGCATGGTAAGCCCGAGTGTAGCTCGGGGTTACCGCTTTTGGTACTGAAACTTTACCCCGAGCTACACTCGGGAATACCGTCAGGGAGGCTAAGAAATTTTAAAACAATTTCTCCCAAGAGCCAGTCAGCTGCTTTCATCAGGGCTGATGGCTCCTGACAGGAGTACTGAGGTAGGGTGTTGTGATGTTTTCATAAATGTGTTTACAGCACCTTGCCGGCTCTCCCACCAGCCTGCATTGCATAGAGAAGTACAGAGACCCAGTGATGACATTACAGGGACTACAACAAGATATGTAATGAAAATGGATAGATTTTACTTATAAATTATTGTGTTAATAAGAGGAGAAAGGCGGAACCAGGGAAGACAAAATCTAACCAGATTAAACATCACCTTTGAAAACATAAAGACAAAATAAACATGAAATTATGTGTTTCATATGTTGTTTTGCTGTTTTTTCAGCACACGCCTCGCTAAGCTGCCTGGATGGGTGTCAAAGGATGGGAATACACAACTGGAGAAGGTATTTATAATGAGTAAAGTTGTAGCATTATCCAACCTCTTCTCGCCCGTAGGATGTCATATGACATCTGGTTGAAGTGGTTATACCGAGATCATACCTGCAGGCATCATACTGGTATCAACATTTTCTGCTGACGGTTGCTTGTGATGCAGAAGTGATTCGAGTGACTGAACAGCCACTCAATCACTTCTGTGGATGGTGGAAGGGCATGAGACTAAGCACACACACACACACCCCTACACATCCACCCACGCACCACTGCCGTTCCTGGGCTGTCCTGTCCAATTGCAGAGCCTGGGACCATTGCAGCGGTGGCACTACAGAGAGAGAGAGAGGAAGTGACGTTCCTCCCTCTCTGTGAAACTGGAAGCAATGAGGATTTCGCCATTTTCGTATCTGGCTCTTTGTTTACCTGTTAGAGGGCCCGGTAAGCAGTCGATCAGACTGATCTGTGTCTGATCAGTTGCATTGGAGATCAGAGGAGAGAATTGGGGACTAACAGACCCCAAATCTCTCCATAAAGTGGACCTGTCCCAGCCCATGCTTTCACAAGGGATGGTGTTCATCCTCTGTGACAACAACAATAACGTTTAAAAAAAAAAAAAAAAAAAAAAATTTGGAAGTTAGAGTAGTCTTGATTGTAGTGTTTAGAGTAGAGTGTAGCTATTATATAAGTAGCACGTTTTCTGGGAGTGCTCTTTTGCTCAGGACCTGTTGAGGGCCCTGGAACCTGAACACAAGGACTTTGTGCCACAGACAGCCATCACACACTTTGGGGTGTTGAATGGACTTTTCTGTGGAACTTTTACCCTGGAGGACATTGACAGCGCCTGGCGGGTGCTGTGTTGTTTTAAGGACTCTTTTATGGTGCGCCAGGAAGCGCCTCCTCCACCAGCGGGAGAGGATGTCCATTGAGGACTGCCGCACACTGATTCTCAGTCTGCTCAGAGACTATACCTTGATGGACTTTAAGGAGGAAGAGGACGTCTGAAGATCTCCCCTTCCCCCTACTCCCCCCCTTGCGTGTCTTTGTCCCTTCAATAAAGCTTCGGGCCTGTGTCCCTTTTTTTCCCCCCCCCCCCCCCCCCCCACACACACCCCATGACCCCATGCTTATTGTAAACTGTACTAATCATATCTTGCATGATTATGGGAAATGTTTTCCAAGCACGCTACGGTCTCGGGGTAAGCGACGTTATGCATGACGTGATGGTCTGGGGATTCGTTCGCCACGCACATCACGTCAGGCATCATACCGCTGAGTGAATGTATTTATTGTATGCCTGGAACTATATTGCAATGTGGTGTATTATGCGCTGCGTCGCAGTATAGGGTGAGATGTACCCCGATTACGAGTATCGTGTTTTTTTATACTTCTGTAAATAAAGTATATTTTTCAATCAAAAATAAGTAAAGTATATCAGAAGTAGTAGTTCAGTATAGTCATAGACGTGTTGATAGAAGTCTAGATCAGAAGTGTCATAGAAGAAGTGTAGAAGTGTTTTTCCCTGAGATGTATGGCATTTTTATACCATACAATCCTTTGTTTCAAGGGACCCTCCCAACAGGCTTGTTGATTGGCCGGTGGAGAAGTGTGCGTACCTAGAGATATTTCTCACTTGTCCACTGGGGACAGTCGGTATCAAAAAAAATTGGTGGTCTTAACGATGACTCATACTTTGATTGAAACAAAATGTCTTTAGGTATCAAATATATACAGTATTTTCTGGCGTATAAGACTACTTTTTATACTTTAAAAATATACCCCAATAATTGGGGGTCGTCTTATACGCGGGGTATAAAATGTGAACCTTGAGTTTGTTTGGGTCAAGCTGGCTGGATGTGTGGTAATACTGTACATACAGTATACCGCGCTGAGCCAAGCTGGCTCAAAACAAATGTCCCTATGACAGATTAATCTGTCAGCCCGCTGGATGTGCGGTGAGCCAAGCGGTTTCAAAACCTACTGTAATCAGCCCGCTGGATGCGTGTATGTACGGTAGCTGCGGCTACATACAGTATACACTGGGCCAATCACGGATATTGAAGGATTTTAAGTACTGGTAAGTCACAACCATTTCAATTAAAAAATCTGATGTTTTTAAATGGTGTTGCCTCGGAAGGGGGGTAGTCTTATACAGGGAGTATAGCCCAAAACCTATGTTTTAACTGGAAAATTAGGGGGTCGTCTTATACACCCAGTCGCCTTATACGCCGGAAAATACGGTATGTCCTATTCAAGTATAGTTGATTTTACTACTAACTCTTGGATAAGGACCATAGAAAGATATAAATAATTCGGTTTCTCATTTTCCTGATGTTTAAACTGTATTGGAATAGCTGATTTCTTTTGGAAATGTACAATTTACCCCAAATCATTTTATTTTCACTATTTCAAACTTAGTTGAGTGGGATGCAATATCTAACCTTCTCAAAGATATTTTCCCTTGATAAAAAGTGTTGGTAATATGCCTTTTGATAATGTCACTGTGGGTAGATATATCAAGTTTTTTTATTTTCAACGACCCAGCTCTCACCGCAAGGTTCACATGACAGGAAAAAAACTTTTATTTACCTGCCCTATTGTGTAGGAATTAGGGTAAATAGACTGGACTGGAGTTAAAACTCAGTATTCAATAGCATATTGTCACATTTCAAGACGTTTGTTTGTTCATCACACTTTCCAAGGTTTTGTGTGAGCTCTCAGACAATCAGGTTTGGTTACTCTATTGTCACTTCCCGCCCTCATATATGCTCACCTGCAGACCTCCAGATAGTGGTGTTTGACTCTCATTGTCTCTTAAACAAGTCTCTTCCACTCATTGTTTAGTATAACTTTTCTGGAAGGTCACTTGAAATTAACTGAGGATGTTAACCCATGACAGTCAGCCAGGATTCTCAATTTTGGGATAATATTTTTCTTAATAAACAGTCCCCAAAAGTCATTACAGGTATCGTCGTGACTGTCAGAGCGAGAATAATAATTTTCCTGTGTAACTCTAAACTGGTATCCTGTAAGGGTTTTAAAGTGTCGCCTATGGAGATTTTGTAGGTACCGTAGTTTGGGACCGTTCCCTGGACATACGGAATTTTAAAGCATGATGTGTTTGGTTATCTATTTACTCGGTGTAACATCATCTTTTATGTTTTAACAAAAACTTAGGTATCGTGTAGTGTTTGTGTGAAATAAAATTAATTTAAATGTATTTTTCCTAACAAAAATTGCATTTGAAAAACCGCAGGGCAAATACTGTGTGACATAAAAAATTGCAACACCCGTCATTTTCTTCTCTAGGGCCTCTGCCAAAGAAAAAAATATATAATGTAATAAATGTATATATTTATACATACATTCTCCGGCCACATTATTAGGTACAACTTGCTAGTGCCAAGAAATATCCCCCACACCATTACACCACCAGCCTGAACCATTGATACAAGGTAGGATGGATCTGTGCTTTCATGTTCACGCCAAATTCTGACCCTACCATCTGAATGTCGCATCAACCAGTCTGCCCATTCTCCTCTGACACCCAAAAATGTATATAGATATTGCTAAAGAGGCACTAACTTATAGAAAGCAGCCTCACAAGGACACCAACTACAGCATATTGTGAATAGATGTAAAAAAACAACCTTTATTACATACAGATTACATATAAAAATGTAATCACCATCATAAGGCAAATATACCTGAATTTTCCCAAACCACTTTTAAAATAGAGGCTGACAACGTTGTCACCTCGATATTTCCTTATTTGAGCCCGGGCTGTCACGCGCTACAGTCATACCCACATGCATATCACTCAGTACTGAGTATTGAATCAGCACAACTTGCTTTCAATACCACAGAATCGTACCACAGGAAACACTCCAGTACAAGCCGAGTTTATTATTATTATTATTATTATACAGGATTTATATTGTGCCAACAGTTTGCTCAGCACTTTATACAATTGTCATCTCATATGAGATATCAGGTACTTCGAAATTGATCTTCCCTGTGGTATACTGAAAGCCAGTAAAGGCAAACACTTAGATGCATCAAGGGAAGATGTTTAAACGACAGTGCTTCCTATACTAATGGTGCACATGGCAGCAGAGATGCTAATAAAATATCCAAAAGGAGACCGGATCCAAAAAAAGATTAATTGCCTCATAACGCATATACAGGTGAAACTCGAAAAATTAGAATATCGTGCAAAAGTTCATTTATTTCAGTAATGTAACTTAAAAGGTGAAACTAATATATGAGATAGACTTATTACATGCAAAGCAAGATAGTTCAAGCCGTGATTTGTCATCATTGTGATGAATATGGCTTACAGCTCATGAAAACCTCAAATCCACAATCTCAGAAAATGAGAATATTACATGCAATCAATAAAACAAGGATTGTACATAGAACAATATCAGACCTCTGAAAAGTAGAAGCATGCATATGTACTCAGTACTTGGTTTGGGCCCCTTTTGCAGCAATTACTGCCTCAATGCGGCGTGGCATGGAAGCTATCAGCCTGTGGCACTGCTGAGGTGTTATGGAAGACCAGGATGCTTCAATAGCGGCCTTCAGCTCTTCTGCATTGTTCGGTCTCATGTCTCTCATCTTTCTCTTGGCAATGCCCCATAGATTCTCTATGGGGTTCAGGTCAGGCGAGTTTGCTGGCCAATCAAGCACAGTAATCCCATGGTCATTGAACCAGGTTTTGGTGCTTTTGGCAGTGTGGGCAGGTGCCAAGTCCTGCTGGAAAATGAAGTCAGCATCCCCATAAAGCTCGTCTGCGGAAGGAAGCATGAAGTGCTCCAAAATCTCCTGGTAGATGGCTGCGTTGACCCTGGACTTAATGAAGCACAGTGGACCAACACCAGCAGATGACATGGCTCCCCAAATCAACACAGACTGTGGAAACTTCACACTGGACTTCAAGCATCTTGCAGTGTGTGCCTCTCCATTCTTCCTCCATACTTTGGGTCCTTGGGCCTCTCCATTCTTCCTCCATACTCGGGGTCCTTGGTTTCCAAACAAGATGCAAAAGTTGCTCTCATCAGAAAAGAGGACTTTGGACCACTGAGCAACAGACCAGGTCTGTTTTTCTTCAGCCCAGGTAAGACGCTTCTGACATTGTTTGTTGTTCAGAAGTGGCTTGACAAGAGGAATACGACATTTGAAGCCCATGTCCAGGATCTGTCCATGTGTGGTGGCTGTTGATGCACTGACTCCAGCCTCACTCCACTCCTTGTGAAAGTCCCCAACACTTTTGAATGGCCTTTTCCTGACAATCCTCTCCAGGCTGCGGTCATCCCTGCTGCTTGTGCACCTTTTTCTTCCACACTTTTCCCTTCCACATAACTTTCTATTAATGTGCTTTGATACAGCACTTTGGGAACATCCAACTTCTTTTGCAATTACCTTTTGAGGCTTTCCCTCCTTATGGAGGGTGTCAATGATGGTTTTCTGCACAACTGTCAGGTCAGCAGTCTTTCCCATGATTGTGATTCCTACTGAACCAGACTGAGAGACCATTTAAAGGCTCAGGAACCCTTTGCAGGTGTTATGGCTTAATTAGTTGATTAGAGTGGGACACTTTGAGCCGAGAATATTGCACCTTTTCACAATATTCTCATTTTCTGAGATTGTGGATTTGGGGTTTTCATGAGCTGTAAGCCATAATCACCACAATTATGACAAATCACGGCTTGAACTATCTTGCTTTGCATGTAATGAGTCTATCTCATATATTAGTTTCACCTTTTAAGTTGCATTACTGAAATAAATGAACTTTTGCACAATATTATAATTTTTCGAGTTTCACCTGTAAGTACTCATTCAAAGGCAGATCATTAATGCACCACTATGGTTAGTCCCCATCTGGATCAATCAGCATTGCACCGTGTATAGGCTATTGTTTTGAAACTTTGGCCGGAGACAAATGAGCAGCTTAGGTAGCAGATGACATAGAGTAGACCAGCGGCATGCATGCGTGGGGAGAACAAAGCCATAGTAACGTCTGTATTCAAACGTTCCAAATGCCCATGGTACTTATCCTTTGCGTATAAAGTTTCTCATGCTGTAATTGTAGATGTTCGGATGGTGACCAGTAAAATCTGTTCGTGTTAATGCACAAGGCTGTGACCTAGCAATACACTTTTATTTTGCAGGAGCTGAAGGAGTGTTCTGGCCGGGTGTTTGTGGATTCCGTACCGGAATTTTGTCTACCAGAGGTAAGGCAGATATAGAACATAAATCCTCTTAAAGCAAACCTGTTCTCAATTTAAAATTAGTAAATTAGGAGCAGGAAACAAAAGCAGCACCTAGGAAGAAATAACACTCCACCGTTGGTGGTGTAATCACTTGGGTTCCTGAGTTTTGCCCCCCCAGTCTTACTTTAGGTGTATACATTAACCGCCTCCCGCCTGCCCGCCATATAGTGTAATGACAGGCGCAAGGCGGTTATTTCGTTCTGGGAGGACGTCATATGACGTCTTCCCACTCTAACCGCGCATGCGTGGCTCCAGGGGTGCGCAGCGCGGCGATCGGTGGTGCACTGTGTCCCTCGGACACAGCGGATCACCAATCGATAAAAAGAGCCGAAGATGTTGGCTCGGTCATGTGATCAGCTGTGTCCAATCACAGCTGATCACATGTAAATAGGGAAATGCCAGTTATCGGCATTTCTCTCCCCACGAGCTGTCACGCTGACAGCTCGAGAGGAGAGCCGGTAATCTGCATTCCTCGGAGGGGACATGTGCACTGATCATTAGGGCACTGATGATCAGTGTGCCCTGATGATCAGTGTGGCCCCAGAAGTGCCACCTGTCATTGCCCATCAATGCCACCTATCAGTGCCACATATCGGTGCCTACCAGTGCACATCAATGCCACATATCAGTGCCCATCTGAGCTGCCTTTCAGTGTCACCTATCAGTGCCACCTATCAATGCCAGTCAGTGCCGCCTATCAGTGTTCATCAGTGCCGCCTAACAGTGCCAGTCAGTGCCGCCTAACAGTGCCAGTCAATGCTGCCTATCAGTGTGCATCAGTGCAGCCTATCAGTGCCCATCACTGCAGCCTCATTGTGCACATCAGTGAAGGACAAAAATCACTTATTTACAAAATTTTATAACCAAATTTTTGGTTTGTTTAGCAAAAAAAAAAAAAAAACCCAGCGGTAATTAAATACCATCAAAAGAAAGCTCTATATATCTCAAAAAAATGATAAAAATTTAATATGGGTACAGTGTTGCATGACCGCGCAATTGTCATTCAAAGTGCGACAGCGCTGAAAACTGGCCTGGGCAGGAATGGGGAATGGGGAAACTTATAGTGCCCTGTAGGCAAGCGGTTAATAAGCTGTCCCATTGATGAATAGTAAAAGGTGGGAGCAGGGAGAAGAGAGCAGGCCAAGCTCGATCTGAGGAATTGGAAGTGGATGTAAAGGCTTTTTACCTTCATGCATTATACAGTCAGGTCCATAAATAGTGGGACATCGACACAATTCTAACATGTTTGGCTCTATACGCCACCACAATGGATTTGAAATTAAACAAACAAGATGCGCTTTAACTGCAGACTGTCAGCTTTAATTTGAGGGTATTCACATCCAAATCAGGTGAACGGTGTAGGAATTACAACAGTTTGCATATGTGCCTCCCACTTGTTAAGGGACCAAAAGTAATGGGGCAGAATAATAATCATAAATAAAACTTTCACTTTTTAATACTTGGTTGCAAATCCTTTGCAGTCAATTACAGCCTGAAGTCTGGAACGCATAGACATCACCAGACATTGGGTTTCATCCCTGGTGATGCTCTGCCAGGCCTCTACTGCAACTGTCTTCAGTTCCTGCTTGTTCTTGGGGCATTTTCCCTTCAGTTTTGTCTTCAGCAAGTGAAATGCATGCTCAATCGGATTCAGGTCAGGTGATTGACTTGGCCATTGCATAGCATTCCACTTCTTTCCCTTAAAAAACTCTTTGGTTGCTTTTGCAGTATGCTTTGGGTCATTGTCCATCTGCACTGTGAAGCAGAATTCATCCTGCTGCTTTTGTCAGCAGTCACATCATCAATAAATACAAGAGAACCAGTTCCATTGGCAGCCATACATGCCCACGCCATGACACTACCACCACCATGCTTCACTGATGAGGTGTATGCTTAGGATCATGAGCAGTTCCTTTCCTTCTCCATACTCTTCTCTTCCCATCACTCTGGTACAAGTTGATGTTGGTCTCATCTGTCCATAGGATGTTGTTCCAGAACTGTGAAGGCTTTTTTAGATGTCGTTTGGCAAACTCTAATCTGGCCTTCCTGTTTTTGAGGCTCACCAATGGTTTACATCTTGTGGTGAACCCTCTGTATTCACTCTGGTGAAGTCTTCTCTTGATTGTTGACTTTGACACACATACACCTACCTCCTGGAGAGTGTTCTTGATCTGGCCAACTGTTGTGAAGGGTGTTTTCTTCACCAGGGAAAGAATTCTTCGGTCATCCACCACAGTTGTTTTCCGTGGTCTTCCGGGTCTTTTGGTGTTGCTGAGCTCACCGGTGCGTTCCTTCTTTTTAAGAATGTTCCAAACAGTTGTTTTGGCCACGCCTAATGTTTTTGCTATCTCTCTGATGGGTTTGTTTTGTTTTTTCAGCCTAATGATGGCTTGCTTCACTGATAGTGACAGCTCTTTGGATCTCATCTTAAGAGTTGACAGCAACAGATTCCAAATGCAAATAGCACACTTGAAATGAACTCTGGACCTTTTATCTGCTCATTGTAATTGGGATAATGAGGGAATAACACACACCCGACCATGGAACAGCTGAGAAGCCAATTGTCCCATTACTTTTGGTCCCTTAACAAGTGGGAGGCACATATGCAAACTGTTGTAATTCCTACACCGTTCACCTGATTTGGATGTAAATACCCTCAAATTAAAGCTGACAGTCTGTAGTAAAGCACATTTTGTTTGTTTCATTTCAAATCCATTGTGGTGGTGTATAGAGCCAAAAATATTAGAATTGTGTCGATGTCCCAATATGTATGGACCTGACTGTATGTATGAAGGTGAAAAACCTTGTGTGCAGCAGCCCCCCCTAATACTTCCCTGAGCCCCATTGCGATCCAGTGATATATATGAGATCCTTGGCTTTCCAGGGACTCTCCCTCCTCCTTAGCTGAGACAGCAGTTGAAGCCAGTTTTAGTAAATCTCCCCCCGTGTCTTCTATGGAGTAAGCCTTGGACTGGGGACTGAGGCAGTATACCTGTACAGGTTGTGGTGAGAAGGGGCAAAAGGAATCAAAAGTCCCTCCATCTGAATCAATGTGTAGCATAGTAAGGTCTTCTTGGAAGTACTTGTTATATTTACACCAGGTTCCTGATAGCAGATAGTTGCTTGCCCCCTACTCCACCTAAAACTGAGGAATACATTTGAGGGGGGGGGGGGGAGCTTTTTAATTTGTGCATGGCGATGTAATTTTTTTGTTACTGATGGGAAATGCAGGCACTGAAGCAATTTGTTTGCTTTATTAGTTGTGTATATAGGTGTAGCTAGTGCGATCAAATAAATTACATATTCTCCAACAGAAATGTCTGCTCCAAACTGTTTGGTTGGGATAAGATGAGATGTGGCTGACTTTGGGGGTGGGCTGGGGGAGCGTCTGAGACATGTGGAATTTAATTTGCTGCTCTTTACTTTTCAGACGCAGCTCATAGATCTGTCTACTGTAGATGTGATCCTAATCTCTAACTATCATTGTATGATGGCACTGCCATACATCACCGAGCACACGGGATTCACCGGCACCGTCTACGCCACCGAGCCCACTGTGCAGATCGGCAGGTAAACCCACAGGAGAGAACAATTATTTTTTTATTATGTTTTTTTTTTTTTTTAATCTGTTGATTTTTTCCCATACATTTATTTCTGTTTTTTAACCCCTTCATACCTAAGGGTAAAACAAATCTAAATGCCTAAGCAGAATTTTGCAACTTTGGCCTGTGTTAGTAAAACCGTACATATCATCACAACTACTTTGTACATCCAGGTGAATTATACTGCGGTTGTTTCAGGACAAATTGGGCTTTCATTTGGTGATAAATGGTAATGGATAGCTCCTGATTTTTTTTTTATTATTATCAAAGGAAAACTGGCCCAAAATAGTAAAAAAAAAATATTTTTTTTATTTAGCTGTGTGTTTCTTGTTACTACCATAACCTACCACCAAAGAACAACCCAAAATAAATTCTCCAGCTCTTGACGATCGCAGCGATACCATATATGTGTATGTTATTTGTTGTTTGTACCCATAGTACCACCCAGAAACAATAGTGCGCATTTTGTTTTTACCTAAAACACACTGATACCAATTTTTTTTTTTTTAAAACCTTGACCTTTGACCCTGACCCAAACAATAACCCTGGCACTGAACTAGATCAAACCTTGATCTAGGTATTTTTTCTTTATTTTTTTAATAACTATTTATTTATTTTACAAACTTTTTTTTTCTCTCTATGCCAGGAGTTTGAGAGATACAATTTATCTCTCTTCTCCATTCATAGAGAGAGAAAAAAACAAGGGGGCCTGGCTGCAGTGACTGATCACTGTGATAGCCAATCAGAGGCTATCACAGCGATCATGTGACCCGGAATTGGGAGTCCCGGGCCCGATCATTATAACGTAGTTCTCAGTGACACTGCGGTCTTTGTGCTGGGAGCACGCAGTGCGACGCGCTCCCAGCACAAAGACAGGTACGCAAATATGCGGCCTCACGGAAAAAAGCCCAGTTCTGTGAGGCCGCATATTTGTGTGCTGTTGGCGTCAAGGGGTTAAGGTCTAACTTTTTATTTTTTTAGTTTTGGATAGAGTGGAGGTGGATTAGATTGCTTGTCAGGTTTTTATTGCTGTCAGTGACCCTGTTAAGGAGATTCATCCTCTATATTTGTCCTTTTTTACCATTCTCATTGAAAGTGAAAGAAAATCCCACATTTCGGTTGTCCCCAGAAAAGTAATAGAGGGGGAAATCTTCCAATTGGGACACTAGTGCTGGTGATCTGGGGGTCTCCAAGGAGTTCCCTTAAAGGATAAATTCACCTTTGGAAACATGTTACATGTTCCATCAGTTCTTATGGAGGATGCAATGAACTACCATGGCGCTGTGGAACACGGTGGTAGTTCATTGAGTCTTCCTGTCAGTACATCCTGTACAGTCAAGCAGATATACTGACAGGTCTGTAGGAGACCTGCATGGCACCAGTGATTTGCTGATCGCTAGTGCAATGCTTTCCAGGCTCCTGCAACAAAAAATAATAAATGCACATTTTTTTTACCTGCAAAAAAGGTGCAATTTATTTTTGTCAAAAGGTGAACTTACCCTTTAAAGCAGAGTTCCAGTGAAAATAAAAACAAATAAAAGTCAGCAGCTACAGAAACAAGCTCCACATTAGCTCCTACTGCTGTTTTTGGTCTGTTCTCCCAGGGATTGTAGGTGGGAAGGAAGAATCAGAGAGGATGTTTGTATCTTAGTTGACCCCCTCCCTTTCCCTGGAGGCTGGCGATTGGATGCTAGGATATGTAGTTTTCTGAAGGCCATTCAGGGGAAGTGGTGATGTCTTGTGGTCTTTCCTTGTTGTGACATTTGAACTCAGAAAGGGTTCCAGTGGATGATGGGTCCCACTGGTCTAGTTTAGATGGAGTTACACAAGCTCCAAATTATGTCTTCCTGCTGTTTTTGCCTGTTGTTTTTCTCGGACATGAGGATAGGGAGGAGAAATTGTGAAGGATGTATGTACCTCCCTAGAGCAAGGGTGGGCAACTGCGGCCCATCAGCTGTTGAAGTGGAACTACATATCCCACAAAGCATTGCAAGATGATAGGTACAAGTTTGACTCGCAGAGGCTGATGGGAAGACTGACAGTTACTCCCAGACGTAGAGGTATGGTGGGACTGTAGTTTTGCAACAGCTGGTCACAGCTGCACACCCTTGCCCTAGAGACGGGGAATGAATACCAGGATATGTAGTTTCCTGAAGGCCAACCATTACTGATGCCTTGTGATCCTTCCTAGTTGGCCATGACCTTTGCTTTAAAAAAGGGTTCCAGTGGATGGTGGGCCTTGACTAGTGAAGTAAACAAAAGGTATTGGATCCACACTTTTTTCCTTTTGATGTGGTCTGTGATCATTGGAAACATAAGATTTTGTTTATATTTAGTTTTCTGTTTTGACTTGCCATCATAGTAGATGTAAACCCAGTCACTAAATTCTCATATAAGCGTAAGGCCTCATGCACACAGGACGTTTTAAAAATGCTCCTCGTATTGGCAGCAGGGTTTTGGCAGAAAAAACGCCTGACGCTTGTCAAAGTGTCTAACGCTTTTACAAGTGTTGAGGTATGTTTACAGGCTTCAAGCGCTTGGGTGTTAATTGTCCAGAATTAAATTTATTCTGGCCATTGAAATTAATTAATGCTCAAGCTCTAAATACGCCTGGTGTTAACATGCGTTTAGACACGTCAAGTGTTTTTCTGATGAAATGCTGCTGTTCCTGGACACAATGACCCTGGGGGTTTTTTTCCTCCTGGTATACGCTACTGCGACGTAAAGCTTCTAAAAGTCTGTGTTTGTGGACTCATAGCAGACATGGTTGGCCGTTTTGGAAGCAATAAAAAAAAACCGCCTGATTCCCCTAAAAGTGGCTGCAAAAACGTCCTGTGTGCATGAGGCCTTAAAGGATACCTTTACCTTTTGACCAAAAATAATGCACATATTTTGCAGGTAAAAAAAAAAGTACATTTATTATTTTTGGTTGCAGAAGCCTGTAAAGCATTGCATCAGCGATCAGCAGTGCACTGTGGTAGTTGATTGAGAACTACAAGCTGACAGTTGCGAAGTCTGTCGGGACTTGTAGTACATTCATTCACAGACTACTGTTAATGAATGACACGCCTGTGTGGGCGGAGCCCCGTACAGCCGCTTTGTTTTGTAAAGGTGACAGCTAGTGGGGGGGGGGGGGAATGAGTTTGAGCAATGGCTGCAGCAGTGGGGACGTTACATGTACCCCCCCCCCCCCCTAAAAACAGGTGAAACATGTAACATATTCCATATACAAAGGAGAACTTTTAACATCTTGAGATAATTTCAAAAGTACAGCCCTGGACAAAATTTTTGAGAAATGACACATATATTAATATACCTGCAAGGAAACACGTGCAGTTATCATTGCTTTACACACAAAGGGATTCACAGACAAGGATATTGCTACGAAGACTGCACCTAAATCAACCATTTATTGGATCATTAAGAACATCAAGGAGAGAGCTTCAATTGTTGTGAAGAAGGCTTCAGGGCACCCAAGGAAGTTCAGCAAGTGCCAGGACCGCCTCCTAAAGCTGATTCAGCTGCGGGATCGAGGCACCACCAGTGCAGGGCTTGCTCAGGAATGGCAGCAGGCAGGTGTAAGTGTATCTGCACGCTCAGTGAGGAGAAGACTTTTGGAGGATGGCCTGGTGTCAAGAGGGCAGAAAAGATGCCACTTTTTTCCTGGAAAAACATCAGGGACACACTGATATTCTGCATAGGGTACAGGGATTGGACTGCTGAGGACTGGGGGCAAAGTCATTTTCTCTGATGAATCCTCTTTCTGATTGTTTGCATCCGGAGAAGAAAAGTTGAGTGCTACAATCATTCCTGTATCATGCCAATAGCAAAGCATCCTGAGACCATTCATGTGTGGGGTTGCTTCTCAGCCAAGGGAGTGGGCTCACTCACAATTTTGCCTAAGAACTTAGCCATGAATAAAGAATGGTACAAAAACTTCCTCCGAGAGCAACTTCTCCCAACCATCCAAGAACAGTTTGGTGATGAACAATGCCTTTTCCAGGATGAGGGAGCACCTTGCCATAAGGCAAAAGTGAAAACTAAGTGGCTTGGGGAACAAAACATCGAAATTTTGGGTCCATGGCCAGGAATCTCCCCAGACCTTAATCTCATTGAGAACTTGTGGTCAATCCTCAAGAGGCAGGTGAACAAAAAAAACCCACAAATTATGACAAACTCCAAGCATTGATTATACAAGAATGGGCTGCCATCAGTCAGGATGTGGCCCATAAGTTGATTGACAGCATGCCCGGGCGAATTGCAGAGGTCTTGGAAAAAGAAGGGCGAACACTGCAAATATTGACTCTTTGCATAAACTTTAAAGTGATTCTAAAGGTTAATTTTTTTTTTGTTTTTGTAAAATAACAAACATGTCTATACTTACCTGCTGCGTGCAGTGGTTTTGCACAGAGCAGCCTGGATCCTCCTCTTCTCGTGTCCTCTGCAGGCTCTCCTGGCTCCTCCTGTGTGTTGGGTGCCCCCACAGCAAGCAAATTCACACACTGAGCAGCGGCTTGGCCCTGCCCCCTCTCTCTCCTCAGTGGCTGACTGGCTGTGATTGACGGCAGCGGGAGCCAATGGCTCCTGCTTGCTGTCTCAGCCAATGAGGAGGCAAAAACAGCTGAGGGTGGCATTCACATCTCTGGATCGCTCAGATAAGTATTGGGGGGGGATGGGGAAGTTGCTGCATGCAGGTTTTTTTACCTTCATGAAGGTAAAAAACCTTCAGCCCTTACAACCACTTTAATGTCATTATCAATAAAAGCCTTCGACACTTATGAAACACTTGTAATTATACTTCAGTATACCATAGTAACATCTGACAAAAAGATCTAAAAATACGGAATTAGCAGACTTTGTGAAAATGTAATATTTGTATAATTCTCAAAGAAACAATTGAGTACTGTCTGTGATACTTTTTTTATTTGCACTAACATACAATTTTGAGGACAAGCTTTTGGGGAATGTCCCCTTCTTCAAGGTCTAAGCATTCCCCGAAAGCTTGTCCTCAAAATTGTATGTTAGTGCAAATAAAAAAAGTATCACGGACAGTACTCAATTGTTTCTGTCGCAAATGCACTAATACGGCTACAATCAACTCAAACAAAATGTATAATTCTCAAAACCTTTGGCCAGGGCTGTACTTTAAAGCGGAGTTCCACTCACTCTAAAAAAACAGTCACTCACTTGTCCCACGATCCCGCGTTGCCCCTGCCGCAGCCCGTTGCACCGGCCGTCCTGTATTCTAGGCACCGGCATCTTCAGTGTGGGCACCCGGCTGTGACAGCTTGCGGCTTCACAGCAGCAGCGGCCCACTGCACATGCGCAAGTAGCACTGCTCTTCCTGAATGGCCCCATCGTCTTCTCGGACCTGTCACGTGTCACACAAGACTACGGGGGGGGGGGGGGGGGGGAGGACAACTGCTTCCAATCGCCTAGGCCAGGGGTGGGCAACTGTGGCCCTCCAGCTGTTGGTGAAGTCCCATCATGCCTCTGCCTTTTGGGAGTCATGCTTGTAACTCAGTTTTGCAATGCCTCACGGGACTTGTAGTTCTACAACAGCTGGAGGGCCACAGTTGCCCACCCCTGGCCTAGGCGATCGCAGCGGAAGTGGGAGCGGGTACCTGTCAAATTCGAGTACTTGCTTCCCAAAGGTGCCAATCCTTAATGGGGAGCAAGGGACCAATCTTTAAAGCGGAACTTCCCCTTTTGGGTGGAACTCCGCTTTAAATGACAGCATAGGCCTGGTATCTGCTTAGACCTTCTACAGGGTACACACCTGTTAATGTCTGATATGGATAGATCAAAGATTTTGGTTACATAAAACCCCACCATTGTAAACTAATTTGTATTTGTGAAAGCCACAATGGATTAGTGTGATTTATTTAACAACCAAACACCCGTTAGTAACTCCTATAACCCTCAATAATGATTTTTTTTTTGTTGTGTCCAAAGAGTGAAACATTTCCTGTCACCTGATATGGGTCCTTTATAACATTTTACTATAAAATATAATCACACTGATATAATGCTGACTGATTTTTTTGTAATTAATCTCCCCACTTCCTTCTATCCTGAACTCAGCGGCCAGACTCATCCACCTTACCAACCGCTCCGTATCCGCCACCCCCCCTCTGTCATTCCCTCCACTGGCTTCCGATTGCCCAACGTATAAAATTCAAACTACTAACACTGACATACAAAGCCATTCATAATACTGCCCCAAACTACCTCACCGACCTGATACCCAAATACCACCCAACACGCACTCTAACCTGTATAGTTAGCGCCCAGGGTTCTTGGCTACTGTTCTGTGACCCAGTCTGTTTACACTCCACATGTGGGTATACTTATATTGTAAAGCGCTGAGCAAACTGTTGGCGCTCTATAAATCCTGTATAATAATAATAATGCTGCAGCCCAGAGGAGGTTTTACACTATACCAGCGTTTCTCAACCTTTTTTCAATCAGGGCACCCTTTTATAAGTATGCAAATTCACAAGGCACCCCAGTCTAAAATGTAAAAAATGTACATATTGTTCATCAAGGGGAAACCTGAGCCTATGGCAATTTGGCCCAGTCTGTTTGTCTGCACTCCACTTGTTAGTACACTGCAGCCCAGAAGAGGTTTTACACTATACCAGCGTTTCTCAACCTTCTTTCAATCAGGGCACCCTTTTATAAATATGCAAAATAACAAGGCACCCCAGTCTAAAATGTAAAAAATTTACATATTGTTCATCAAGGGGAAACCTGAGCCTGGGACAGTGCACACAACCACCTTGATGAAATTAACTGTACATCAATGGTCCCCTATCGCATTAGTGGTGCCCCTTCATATCAGAAGTTGCCCCCCTTGATATCGTGGCCCCCCTCTTTATATCAGAAGTCCATCAATAACATCCCATCACATTTTTTATTATTACTATACAGTATTTATAAAGCGCCAACAGTTCTCTCAGCGCTGTACATTACAATGGGGGACAATACATGAGATAGTACAATAACAATACAATGTGATACATGAGGGGATCGAGGGCCCTGCTCCTTGGAGCTTACAATCTAGGAGGGAGGGGATAGCGGTAAAGGAGGAAATGGCTGTGGGGGATGGAGTTGTAGGAAGAGTGGAGGAGGGCGGCAATTAGCAGGGGGTGGGGTAGGCTTCCCTGAAGAGATGGGTTTTCAGGGTGCGCCTAAAGGGGAGGAGAGTAGGTGATAGTCTGATGGATTGGGGTAGTGAGTTCCAGAGGATGGGCAATGCCCTGGAGAAGTCCCGGAGGCGGGCATGGGAGGAGACGAGGGAACTAGAGAGAAGGAGGTCTTGTGAGGAGCGTAGAGTGTGTGTAAGGTGGTACTTGGATATTAGGCCGGTGATGTAGTTCGGGGCAGTATTATGGACAGCTTTGTACGTCAGTGTTAGGATTTTGAATTTGATCCGTTGGGCAATCGGAAGCCAGTGGAGGGATTGGCAGAGGGGGGTGGCGGAGACAGAGCGGTTGGAAAGGTGAATGAGTCTGGCAGCCGTATTCAGGATCGACTGAAGCGGGGATAGCCTGTGGTGGGGCAGGCCAGTGAGGAGGGAGTCGCAGTAATTGAGTCGTGATATGATGAGGGAGTGGATGAGCTGCTTGGTGGTTTTTGGCGATGTTGCGGAGGTGGAGTCTGCATGAGTTTATGAGTGATTGGACTTGGGGCTGGAAGAATAGATTGGAGTAAAGTATGACACCAAGTACTCTGCCTGCCTGCATACATACATACATACATACATACATACTACATACATCATGTGAAATGTTGGTATATCCATACTGACGTACATTGTATATGGGTGAACGGGGTTTTAGCATCATTTTTCTCTGATTCTTGCATGTCTCTAGTTATAGCGTTCTTTCCAAAGCGTTGCCAGTCATAGTAGCAAAAACAATTCAATATTATCCGTGATACTTTTGTTATTTGCACTAACATCCAGATTTTCAGGACAAGCCTTCAAGGCATACTCTCTTCTTCAAGGTCCAGGCAGTACTAATGTTTAGTTTATTACTGCTTGGATCTTGAAGAAGGGGGAGTATCTGAACACTTATTTGTAAAATTTGGATGTTATCGCAGTTAAAAAAAAAAAAAAGTGTCATGGACATTACCCTAATTGTTTTTGTTGCAAATGAACTAATATGACTTCAGTCACCTCAAGCAGTCATTGTAACACACCAGCTTCAGGTCTGACTCAGTGATGGTATACAGAATCTGCCTAGCATGGGAAGGGAATGCAGAAATCAATAACGAGATTAGGTGATGAGCACTTTATTGAATATGTTGTAAATCTATATCTGACACAGCACTCTAAAAAAGACAAGTAAGCTATATCTATATAGCTGATATCTTAATATGCCAATTGTTTTTTTTTTTGTTTTTTTGGTAGGGTTACATTTTAACTTTTGTCTGTTCCTGTTTCAGACTCCTCATGGAAGAACTAGTTAATTTCATTGAGCGCGTTCCGAAGGCACAGTCTGCCACCAAGTGGAAACAGAAGGAGGATCAAAGGTATTACCCAGCCAATACATGTGACAGTTTTATAAGTAGTGTGTTAGGGTCTGCAGAGGATTTTAAAATGACACTTTCATGATTTTTTTCTTCCTCTTGCAAGTTCATGTTTCACAAAACTGCTGTTTTACTACACATTACTATGTTCGACTTCTTTGTGTAGCAGCCCCCCTCCAAGACTTACCTGAGCCCCATCCCAATCCAACGACGTGTAAAAGAGGCTTAGCTGTCCCAGGTCTCTCCCTCCTCATTGGCTGCCGTTACTGTCAACCACAGCCAGGGACCCAATGAGGAGAGAGCAGGGGCCACATCAGTGTGTGAATGAACACACAGAGCAGCGACTTGCGACTCCCTATAGCAAGTTGCTTGCTCTGCGGACCTTGGCAGGAGGGAGGGGCCAGGAGTCCTGGCAGAGGACCAGAGAAACGGAGGATCTGGGCTGCCCTGTGCAAAACCACTGCACTGCATGAAAGGGCCTATCTACAGCGAGGCAAACAAGGCAATTGCAGTGGGAGGCATATTTCTGGGGGGTTTACGCCATCCCCAGGACACTAGCATATCATCCATGGGTGCAGGGTGTTCACTGAACACGAGCCTCCAACATACACAATACAGTATGGATGATACTGTCAGGTGCTACAGCTGCGGCAGGGATTAAGTGTCCCCTTTGCTGGCTCCGCTCATCCCATGCCAGCCCTGCCCCCCTAGCTCAGCCTGAAGCCTCTTCCTGGCAACCTGCTGATCCTCTCCCTGGGGCAGCTGCATGGTGATTCTGCTCTGTCTGGGGAGTAGTGTGTCCCGGTGCCAAGGTGTCCTGCCCTGAGCCAGGCTCCCTCTCCCTCTGACAACTTTCCCTGGGTGTCTCAGCTGCTGCAGAACTTCTTGGAGGGTGAGTCTGCTGGGTGTTGCAGTGCAGGGCAGTGATTGGCAACTGTGGGGTTCACAAACCCCAAATAACCCCCTTTCTCCTCCTCGCCTCTCCACCCTAAACAATAAGCCACCTCTCCGCCCTAGGCAATGACCCATCCTCCCCACCTCTCCACCCTAAACAATAACCCATCCTCTCCACCCTAAACAATAACTACCTCCCCACCCTAATCAATAACCCCCTCCTTTGAATAGGTGGAGCCTAAAGAGGAAGGGATGGAGTTTACAGAAGAAGGGGTGAATCCTAAACAGGACGGGATGGGACAAATTTAGATGGTGGGGGCGTCCGATTTTAGTCTTGCCTAGGGCAGCACAAAACCAAATCACACCACTGACTGCAAGGAAGTATAACACAAAAAAACAAACTACCTTTACAATCACTTTAAATGTAAATATGATCAAGTCAAACTCGGGAAATTACACTGCTGCTGCAAAGAAAAAGAAAAAACAGGTGATGTAGTAATGAATACAGAGCTGCATCACCATTTGTCTTTTATATCTACTTGGAATTTAGATTAAGCTTTAGGCAAAGCTTGTACTTATTTTTCATATATGATGCGAAAGATATATAATTTTTTTTTAATTTAATATAAAAAAAAGTCATACTTTTCTGCTTTGTGCAGTGCTTTTGACCAGAGCAACCCCAGTCCTCTATTGGAGCCTGCTGCCAGCACTCTCCCCTCCTTCTCTTCTCTGGGTGCCTCTTCAGCAAGCCCTGTGCTGAGGGGCCACCCATGCGGGCGCGATCCAGAGCCGGACTGCGTCTATAGACACACACAGTGCGGTTTGGCCATGCTCACAGGATTTGACTGACGGGAGCAGGAGCCTATGGCTACTGCTGCTCTCCGTGTCTCCTGTGAGGAGAGGAAGCGAGAACAAGGCTGTTGCACACGGGACAGCTTAGGATTCAAAGAGGACTCGGTTAAGTGTTTGCGGAGCGGGGAGGGAGGGGAAACGGGCATTAGAATGTTTTGGGGTTTTTTTTTTTCTAAATTAAGGTCCCTTTCATGCAGTTTTTGACTTACAATGGAAGGTGCTTTTGTAAAACCGACCAAAGATGCAGCATGCAGGACTTTTCAAAAATCAGCACATCTGCAGTGTGAAGAGTTCCATAGGATTTAACCACCTCAATACTGGACATTTTCACCCACTTCCATTCTTCCCCTTTCGTTCTTCATAAATTTAGGCCAAATTTTATTCTGCTGCATTTCTTTGGTAAAAATAACCCAAATCCGTGTATATTATTTAGTCTGTGTGATAGTTAGACTACAAGCTATAATAATATAGAAAATGCAGCTCTAAGATGAATATAAAAGCAAATGATTAAAAGTGGCATAAACTGATATTGAGAATAAAATTGAATACAAAATATATAATACTGTGAAGGTTTGGGTCTGTACCTTTATGCTAGCTGCTTATGATCTACCCTTTTTTCCAAGCGCTCGTAATACTCTCCCTCATTAGACTACAAGCTATGTTACAAAAAAAATCCTGATTTACTGATCAATTCCTGTAGCCCTAAAATGCCAGGACAGTACAAATATCTCCCCGCCACCCAAATGATCCATTTTTGGAAAGTAGACAGTTTAAGGTATTTAGTAAGAGACATGGTGAATTTTTTGAAGTTGTCATTTATTCCCCCACAATTCTTTGGAAAATGAAAACAAATTGTTCCACAAAATTGTCATTTTAACAACTTATTTCTCACGTGCCGTATAGACATACATGAAATTGCACCCCAACATGCATTCTGCTACTTCTCTCAAGTAAGAGGATACCACATGTGTTCGATTTTTTTTCACAGCCTAGCTACATAGAGGGGACCAAAATTCAAGAAGTACATTTTCACTTTCAAGGAGCATGAATTATACATCTAATTTCTTTTTCAAAGATATTGCTAACACACAGTATGGACATACTAAGAAATACACCCCCAAAATACATTCTGCTACTCCTCCAGAGTATGGCAATGCCACATGTGAGACTTTTCACATCATGTGCACTGGGACACTACTGCAAATGTTGATGTGTGCTGGGACACGATTGCTATTGCAGATGTTCTGCAGTGGGGCACCGACAAATGTTGGACGGGCCAATGGGATACTGTTGCAGATGTTATGGACTGGGTCACTGTAACAGATGTTGATGTGCACTGGGACAATGACAGATGTTGATAGTCCACTAGGGACACCGACTGATGATGATGTTGCAATTGGGTACTGAAAGATGTTGCAATACTATTACAGATGTTGATGGGACACTGGCACACTGACAGATGTTAATGGGACACCTGTACACTGTGACAGATGATGCAACACTGGTACTCCGTGACAGATGTTCATGTTCCACTAGGGACGCCAACAGATGTTCATGTTCCACTAGGGACATGGACAGATGTTGAAATTGAACACTATTGCAAATGTTGATGTGCACTGTTACACTGTTGCAGATGTTAATGGGACACTGTTACGCTGTGACAGATGTTGTTGGGAAACTTGTACAGATGTTGCTGTGCACTTGGACACTAACAGATGGTGCTTGGTGCACTGGTGTGGGATGGCTGCACTGTGTGGGGTAAAATCAGCAGCTACACACAGGTCCTTGACAGGTTGCAGCGATCAGCTCTCCCCCTCCCCTCCTCACTGAGAGCTCTGTGTGACAAGATGGTGAGCCAATACAGGGACTCATGCCTCTATTTACATTGTGTGATGGCTGTGATTGGACACAGCCATCACATGATCGGGAGGACCAATCAAGAGATTCCATCCCGATCTTTGATGTGCTATGCCCAGGGACCACAACCATCACAAAGCTGCGCCGCTTTGTGGCCATGAGGAGTGGGAGGACATACCTGTTTATGTGCAGTGGCTAGGTGGGAAGCAGTTAAAGTGTTTCTGAAGGTCTTCTATGCATGAAGGTAAAAAACCTTCCATGTGCTCCCCATCAGCACCCCCCCCCCCCCACCTTTATACCTGAACCTGATTTCGATCCATGGCTGCTTACTAGAGCCTCGGCTCTACTGGGTCTATCCCTCTTCATTGACTGAGACACAGCAGTGGGAATCTTTGCTGCTGTCAATCACAGCCAGTTTAATGGAAGTGGGGGCAAGGCGAGGCCCGCTCTTTGTGTCTCTCTTAGACACATAGATATGGCATGGGAGCAAGCGGGTATGAGCGCCCCCCAGAGCAAGCAGCTTTCTATGGGAGCACTCAGCGGGAAAGGAGGGCCAGCAGGGGACCCAAAAAGAGGAGGATCGGGCCACTCTGTGCAAAAACATTACACAGAGCAGGTAAGTATTACATGCTTGTTATTTAAAAACAAATCTGAACCTTTACTATATCTATGAAAATACATTTTTCATGTTTTTTCCTCTGCTTTTTAAACCCCAAAATCACATAAAAAACTATACAGAGATCGCATTAAGGTAAAAACCTTTTGTGATTTGTCCAATTTTAAGTTGACAATTCTGTCATTGCTGTCCCTCATGGTGGGGTATAACACTGGGGTATTCCTGTATAAGAAGCCTTTTTCTGCCTATTGAACATCTTTTGTTTTGTGTGTAGACAGCTGCCGGCCCCTCTCAAGGATGCTGTAGACATCTTCACCTGGAGAAAGTGTTACACAATGCAGGAGGTGAACTCGGCTCTCAGTAAAATCCAGCTGGTCGGATATTCACAGAAAATAGTAAGTACCACTGTTGCAAACAAGCACAGAACAGTACATGACCTTTTGGTGTCATTTAAAGGCAAGTCCTCCAAAAACGTACTAATAATTAACCTTTTCTTGCTGGCTTCTGGTGGCCTTTCAAACGGCTCTTAATGCCGGGAGGAACTTCCCAATTAAGAGATCACTGTGATTGGCTATATATGTGAAAAAGTGCAGCGCTCGTAAACAATATGTATACACAAGTCCTTAAATTGAATAGATATAAAATAAAGGATAAGAGGTAGTCCCACAGATATAGGTGAATATGAATAATTGAGGTGACTTCGCTGTCCAAGTAGAGGTGGTAATGAAATGCGCACTCACCGGACGCGCATATTAAATGCGCCTTGTGTGTAATTATCCTGATGCCAGGTGATGGGAGGTCTTCCTTCTATCGGATCCGAGATAAGTTGTCCTTCTTCTCACAGAAGTACACCTGTATGGTCCTAGTGGGTGCTGTCACTCCGAATGGCCCTGGGTGGTAAGTAGTAATCCGTCCTAGTAGTGATTGGCTGTCACAGTGGTCATATGATTGGAAGCCCGCTTCGACAGCTCCTGATCATAAACAGACAGGGAGTGGTCTGTGACAGCTCGGTTACTGTACTAGGAGTTCACACTCTCTCAGCACATACAACTCAAGCCCCATAAACACATATGTGCACATGTAAGGCCCACCCACCCTGGTGCAACATATAAGTGTTACATGGGCAGCAAGAGGTTGAAGTGGAAACTTTAGTGTAAATATAAGAATATGCAAGAAGGAGGGTTTTTTTTTTTTTCCTTCATGTGGAAGAGACTTGAAGAGTGCAAAATATGTTGCAGCTCTGCAAATAAACCCGTCAGCTTCCAGGATTTAGGCTGGCCATACATTATACAATTTTCTTCAGAAAATTGCTTTAGATTTACCAAAAACCATATAATAAAAGGTCAAACCTAACATCACTTTCAATTGTATCCAATTAGGCAGGCCCTTGCATTACATAGTTGAAGGTAAATCTAAAGGAAATTGGGCAGAAAATTGGACAGAAAATTGTATAATGTATGGCCAGCCTTTATTGTCAAAGCTTTGATGAAGCTGAGGTTAGAAGCTGATTGGCTGTCATGCACAGCTGCACTAGATTCTGAGTGCTCCAGTTTTAGTAGATCTCCCCCATACTGTTTTGTTGACTACTCAATTTTAGTCTTTAACTTTCAAGCTGAACTCCAACTAGAAAGAAAAACGCACACACACAAAATCTCTTTATATACAGGAGTTGGACAAAAATATGGAAACACTACATGATTTGCAGGTGTGAAAGTGACAACATGTTTTATGTTGAAAGTGGAAGTGATGTAACATTCTTTTACTTCCGCTGTGTGATGAGACACCTAGCTAACAGGTGAGATGCCTCATTTTCATCATTCACTGCATGCGCTGCTAGTAATACGGAAATGTCATGTACAGCAAGAGGGCAAATTGTTGATGTCTGCTTAGCTGGTGCCTCTGTGACTGAAGTTGCCAATTTATTTGTAGTGTCATAGAGTACTGTATCAAAGGTTATGATACAGGGGTGTGGAAGTTTTTGAAAAAAACTACTTGTCCAAGGACTAAATCGGGGCCCCAATCTACTTGTCCCTCATGACAATCTACTTGTCCAGATAAAAAAAGAAAAAAAAATTTAACCAAAACCGTATTTAAATCGGAGGTGATTTTAGGAATGCCTGGGATTTAAAAACAAAAGGGGCGACTTAAACGTTTACATTTCTTAACATTGCGCTGTTTATCTCCTCCTCCCCTCCCTGTCTCCAGCACCTGAGGACTAGCAGGGAGGAGAGAGACCTTGCAGTGTAATCGGCACCAATTGGCTGCTCCTCAGGAAAGGGTGGGTCAGGGCTTATACTTTATCCCTTTTTTTCTGTCAGAGCCGTTTTTGTGTTTTTTTGCACACGTTTTAAAAATCAAAATACAAAATCAAGCCCCTAGGCATGCAGACTGCTTCTACAAACATTTGCGAAAGAATGAGTCGCTTTCAGGAGCTCAGTGACTCCAAGCGTGGTCCCGTGATAGGTTGTCACCTGTGCAATAAGTCCATCCGTGACATTTCCTGGCTACTAAATATTCCACGGTCAACTGTTAGTGGGATTATAACAAAGTGGAAGAAACTGGGAACAACAGCAACTCAGCCACCAAGTGGTAGGCCACGTAAATGACAGAGCGGGGTCAGCGCATGTGTAGAAGTTGCCAGCTATCTGCAGAGTCAATAGCTTAAGGCCTCCAAACTTCATGTGGCCTTCAGATTAGCACAACAACAGTGCGTAGAGATCTTCATGGAATGGGTTTTAATGGCCGAGCAGCTGCATCCAAGCCTTACATCACCAAGTGCAATGCAAAGCGTCGGATGTAGTGGTGTAAAGCACGCTGCCACTGGACTCTAGAGCAGTGGAGACGTGTTCTCTGGAGTGACGAATCACGCTTCTCTGTCTGGCAATCCGATGGATGTGTCTGGGTTTAGCTGTTGCCAGGAGAACGGTACTTGCCTGACTGCATTGTGCCAAGTGTAAAGTTTTTGGTGGAGGGGGATTATGGTGTGGAGTTGTTTTTCAGGGGTTGGGTTTGGCCCCCTAGTTCCAGTGAAGGGAACTCTTAAGGCGTCAGCATTTTGGACAATTTCATGCCCCCAACTTTGTGGGAACAGTTTGGGGACGGCACCTTGCTGTTCCAACATGACATACTTCTGCCCTCATAAACAGGTTTTTTTTATTTCTCCTTATTTGGGCAGCTTCCATTTTTGTAACTGGTGCCACTGTTTCCTCCCTATGGTTATATTTCTGATGTGTTTACCTCTCGCTTCCCTTTGTGGGCAGTTGTGATTAGCACAGCACCCAGTTGTGACTTCCCAGCAAACGCACACAGATAATAGCCCTGAGCTACCCTTGCACACACGCCTGCTATGTGTTCCCATTGAATAATGTGAAATGTAGAGAGTGCATTTTCTGACAGATTCAATGGAAATTACAAATTATTCAGGAAGTAAGCATACATTTTAAAGTTTTATTTTGCAAGAGGAGAGGGAGCCAGGAATTCCAAATACGGCTGGATCCTTGAGATCAGCTTTTAGTGTTGATGACCGTGGTCACCAAGATAAATGGAGGGGTGAATCTCTGCAGTGGGGATATGGACCGCAATAAAGCCTGATAGGGGGTGTAATCCTTCCTTACTATATTTCAAAAGGAAAAATATAGCCCCTGTACTGGCTGAGGATGCTCTCTTCACCCTCAAAGTGACAACACTGGGTGCCTAAATAACCAAGCACAAATGTTGTCACCTTAGAAGAAGAGGAGTCACATGATCCCTAAATCTAGAAATCCCAGCCTTTTCTCTTCACTCCCAGCAGCCAAATGGAGCACAAGGGAACAATTATAATGTACATGTGAAAAGGTCAGCTTGCAGTAAATCATTTTATCGAAGTCTTTGAATGCTGTAAGGACCATTTTTGTGTATTGTTTATAATTATATACGTACATGGGTCCTGCCACAGTTCTGTATTACATATGCAGGCTCTGCTGTGTACCAAGCAGGGTTTGTCTAATAAAAAGAAGTCTCTCTGCAGTGATTACATGAGGCCAGAAGACGTGATTTAGGCTGCCTAGGCTGGGATCTTGGGGGCAGCCGTTCCTTATTGATTTTATTAGGTGTATGTCTTAACTAAGCAAGTTAGCTTAAGAAATAAAATGGTCATTGACAACATTGGATGGCAAAAATAGGAGCTATGGGGCCTGTTGTGCATGTATTTAGGTTTTCATTGCTGTCTGTGTCCCCGATGGGAAAAGTCACCCTCTCTATTTCTCCTAGTGACCGATATTGCTGAATAAGAAAGTGATGGAAAAAAAATCTCTGTTCTGGTGACAATGATCCAAGAGGGGATTTTCTTCTCACTTGCAAAAGATTTCCTCTCACTTCCTGTTGCATGTCCTGTAAAAAATGTAAAGAGAAATCTCCCTAACAAGCAGGGTGGATTTGATTTAAATCAAACTGATTTAAATCACAATTTAAATCACTAGTCAGTAAGGCTTGATTTATATCCTAGTTTTCTACATAAAGACTAATTCTTGCTGGTATAACTTTAATATGCAAGTAGATGAAGATTTTTAGAATAACTTTTCATATTAGTTTTTTTTATCCCCAGTTTAATAGGTTAATCATTCATATTTGGACAACTTTTCTGTTGTACTTAGGAAGGAGAAAAATAATCATCCTCTAATAATAACCATTTAAATAGATTTATTCAACTGAAACAATAACATTCCAGCATGTTATTTGCTTAAACATCCATGTTTGGTAACTAATTTGGCTAAACAAAATATATATATTTGAAGAAACTTAGACTGTCAGCCCCTTCCTCCTCACACTTAGTTTCACTTTCTTCTTGTGCAGATCTATTCCACTCCAAACAATCAGAAAAATATTGTTTCTATTCTATTCACTGAACTTCTTGAACCTTGGCAGTGAAGGGGTTGATTCTGTATTCATAGGTTTGTAGAAGTTAGGATTAAGGTCTTTTTCTGAACTCTGTTCATGTTATAACATTTTTGCTGTGAAGAAGAGGCATGTGATCTCCGCTGAGTCAAATTCAGTTTTGAGAACTGCAAAAGTAAACCAAACATCTGTGATAATATCTTGTAGGCAGAGAAACTGCCCAATAATCTTACAAAAACCTCTGGAAGAGCATGACATTGTGAATGGATTCATGGAATTTATTTACCAAAAAATTAAACATATACAGCCTTATTCTACAGAATTAAAAAACGAATCTTTATTTAATGATGGAATAACCTTTGGATGGTAATAGATTTCCTCAAAAAGCATTTTATTTAAAAAAAAATCCGATTTAAATAAAAATCGATTTAAATAAAAAAAAAATCCGATTTTTTTTAAAAAAAAAATCATTGATTTTTATCCACCCTGCTAACAAGACACAGACCTCAGGAAATAAACTGACAAGGTTTTAACTCTTCCCTACTCTACCCACACCTAAAAACAATAACAGATGGACTATACACACACGAATGTTAGAGTTTATTTACCAATCCTGAAAAAAGGGGAAATAAAGTTTATGAAGTAATATGAAGACTACAGAACACGTAATCTGATCAGTAGTAAAGGTGAATATAGTCTTGTAATGGTCTTACCTTAATGGTAACGGTATAGTAACTTGAATCCTCCAGCACAAAGTCACTGGGATTATATCCAGCTTCTCTGCCACCCTCCTCACCTTCCTCTTGTCTTGCAGGAACTGTTTGGCGTGGTGCTGGTGACACCGCTGAGTTCTGGTTATGCCCTTGGAAGCTCTAACTGGATCATCCAGTCTCATTATGAGAAGGTGTCATACATGTCTGGTTCCTCTCTTTTGACAACTCACCCGCAGGTAGGTGGCTGAAAAACAGAGGTGCAAAATCGTATTTCTGCTTTATTTAGTTTGTATCTACAACAAATACTTACATTTACAACATGCACGTACTGTATGTGTGTGTATAGTGGTGCTCCAGCACTCTCATACAGCTTTTTATGGAATAAAACTCAAAAAGGCTAACTGTATTTTTAATATAGAGTTATTATCTGATCCCACAACAAAGTACACACCTCAGATGTAGACTAAGCACACTGCTATTGCTCTTGCCTGTCTGAAGTCTGGCAGGACTTTTCTCAACCCGATCTTGTATTGGAGTTTGGTGGCCTGGAAAATTACATATGTGTATACATCTTTGGACTCTGGACTCTGTAGACACAGATGTAATGAGCACTGCATATGTGTATCTTCATCACTGGACTCTGCAGACACAGGAGAGATGAGCACTGCACATGTGTATCTACATTACTGGATTCTGTAGACACAGGAGAGATGAGCACTGCATATGTGTATCTACATCACTGCACTCTGCAGACACAAGGGAGATGAGCACTGCACATGTGTATCTACATCACTGCACTCTGCAGACACAAGAGAGATGAGCACTGCACAAGTGTATCTACATCACTGCACTCTGCAGAGACGGGAGATGAGCACTGCACAAGTGTATCTACATCACTGCACTCTGCAGAGACGGGAGATGAGCATTGCACAAGTGTATCTACATCACTGCACTCTGCAGAGACGGGAGATGAGCATTGCACAAGTGTATCTACATCACTGCACTCTGCAGAGACGGGAGATGAGCATTGCACAAGTGTATCTACATCACTGCACTCTGCAGAGACGGGAGATGAGCATTGCACAAGTGTATCTACATCACTGCACTCTGCAGACACAAGGGAGATGAGCACTGCACAAGTGTATCTACATCACTGCACTCTGCAGACACAAGGGAGATGAGCACTGCACAAGTGTATCTACATCACTGCACTCTGCAGACACAAGGGAGATGAGCACTGCACATGTGTATCTACATCACTGCACTCTGCAGAGACGGGAGATGAGCACTGCATATGTGTATCTACATCACTGCACTCTGCAGATACAAGGGAGATGAGCACTGCACATGTGTATCTACGTCATTGCACTCTGCAGACACGGGAGATGAGCACTGCACATGTGTAACTACATCACTGCACTCTGCAGGCATTCAGATGATAAGCAGTGCACATGTATATCTATGTTCCAGCATTGTCCTCCTGGGATAGGACTACAGAAAACCTTCCTCTCCTCTCTTTTATTTATTAATGCATTTATTATTTTTCTTGCTAGGAGCCTGCAAAGCATTGCAACCGCGCTCAGCAGATCCTGGGTGTAATGCAGGACTCCTGCAGACTGTCTGTGTAAGCTGTCTTCTCGTACTTCGTTTGAGCAGGCAGTTACACAATGACAGGAAGAATCAAAGGACTACCACAGCACTCAGCATTGCTGTAGTAGTTAATTGAGCACTACAAGCCGACAGTCGCAAAGAACTCTGTGAGTGAATGACTTGGCTGAGTGGGTGGATCCCCGCAGAGCTGCGTTTTTGTTTTTTTTGTTTCTTTCAAAATATTGACAGCGAGTTTGGTGAGAAGATCCCCGGCTCCTGTCACAGGGATGTAGCAGATGGAGCTGCAGCAGCAGGATTGGGAACACTTTAAATGTTCCATCCTAAAAATGGGTGGAAAATTTAACATGTTCCCAAAGATGAATGTGTCCTTTAAAAGTCCAAAAGGGAGAAAATAGGAGAAATTTTATTAGGGTTTAAATACATTTTACATGCTAACTCAATAAATCACCATGGAGTATACTAGGAATATATCAATGAATAATAATACATTAAATGTATAATACAATGATCTGCAGTGATGCATAACAACCAAAAGGGATCCTGCATATGTGACTAAGCTAATAAAAGCCACTAACTGATTGGTTACCAGAGAAACCGGGGTGATCCATTGCTTTTTTTTGTACTAAAAATGATATCTAAAGGTTCAAACCGTGTATGGGCAAGCTGAATGTACCCAAGTTATTCGATCGATCGGTACAACTAGCCTGCTGGACTTTACATGAGATTTTTTCTAGTGCCTTTTATAGCCGCTAGCAATAATCACTGTGCCCTCCCAGCAGGGCCATACAAATGAATGGAATTCTGCTGAAGTCGCCTTGCAACAGCATGCAGCACAGCGGTGCTGGCTTTTAGGGGTTAACAGAGGTGGCGAGGAGGTGATTTAATGCCTCCTCAGGGTCTCTGAAAAACCCTCTAAAGTGCGCTCTTCAGAATCTTCTCCTGTGTAAACAAGACCATACACTCAGATTTCCAATTTGGTTTATTTTTATCATACACTTTAATTGTATTTCTTTATTTAGCAGAACTGCACTGTATCTGAGCACCACAAACCAAAAGCATTATTTAATTTATTTTTAATATTCAAAGCAAACTCCCCCATCCAGTCATGTCTCTGGCCATGGCCATCTTGAGTAAGGGCAGTTGATTCATGTAGCAATTACTTCCAGGAATTCATCTGCCCTTAGCTGAGGCATACAGGCGGGAAAGTGTGCTTAGCTGAGAAAACCCCTCCTGAAGACTCATGGGATGTATGACCTCATTTGCCTAGGCATGGAAACTAGGAAGTACTGTAGAAATATAAAAAAAAGTTTAAAACAAGTAAATCTGATACACTTTCCTTTCTATTTACTAATGCTAGCAGCATAAGGATTCAAAATAGTCCGTGTTGATTGAGAGTGAAGTTCCATTTTTATAAGAATATGAAACTTGGGTGAACGGAATGATTGGTTGAGAGGACTCCAGACATTACGGTATCAAAATTTTTTTTAAATAAGTTCACCTTTTAAAAAGAAAAAATAATAAATGTACATTTATTGCAGGAACAAAATTTACTGCAGGTAAAAAAAATGTGCATTTGTTATTTATTTTTTCTTAAAAGCCTATAAAGTATTGCGTCCATAATCAGCAGATCGCGGGTGCAATGTCAGGCTCTTGCAGACTGTCTTTATATTGTCTGCCCATACCGCTGATATGGGAAGGCATTTATTGAAGTCCAGGAAGCTCAATGGATTATGAGAGCGCTCACCAACGCCTTCGCTGAGAAATACAAGCCGTCAGCCACAATGGCTCATGGTAGTTGTAATTCATTCATTCACAGAATTCTGCGAATGATGTGGCCGTGTGAACAGAGCCCGACCATGGCCGCGCTGTTTTCAAATTGTGACAGCGGGTGCGGCAAGAGGATCCCTGGCCTGCTGACACTAAGATGCTGCAGGTCGGGGGGGAGAGGAAACGAGTTAGCGTAAATTTGCCATTGGAATATTTTTGCTCCTTTTTGCAATAAAGAAGATTTTTGTATTCACCTGTTGCTGACATTTTTGGAATTGGACCCTCTCCTCCCTGGCTGTGATTGACAGCAGTGAGAGCCAATGGCTCCCACTGCTGTGTCTCAGCCAATGAGGAAGAAGAGTTCCAGGAAAGCTGAGACTCCCATGCATGGCATTGGACCGAGATCAGGCTCAAGTAAGTATTAGGGGGGCTGTGGAGGGAGCAGCACACAAAATGTTTCTTAACTTCATGCATTGAATGCATGAAGGTAAAAGACCTTCAACCTTCACAATCACTTTGAACCCTCTCTTTCAGCCGATGGATCAAGCCGCTCTTAAGAATAGTGACATTCTGATTGTGACCGGTCTCACCCAGATTCCTACGGCCAATCCAGATGGCATGGTGGGCGAGTTCTGCAGCAATCTCGGTAAGTGGTCCAGTTGTGTTTTTTGTAATTGTACTTTTTAGGTGGTGCAACCCCAAAAGCCTAAATCTTTGTTGCAATTTTTAACAACCAGGATATCACCTTAACCAATTAACCTTTTTTTTTGCTTTTGATTAACTGACTTATAAAACCCCAGGTAGATGACTTTCAAGGTTCAGGTTCCAGGCTGTCCTCATTGGTGTATCCTCATTACTTCCTAGTAGGTCAGTGATTTGTAACAAACGTGCAGCCAATGAAGTTTAAATAGTCCAGACTTCTATCCTGCATGCTTTTTCGATTTCGTTGATTTAAACCCCATTCACACTTGTGCGACTTATCACGCGACTTTTGACATCAAGGTCGCACGACAAGTCATACCCCAAGTTTTCCAATGATAACCATTTATATATGTGATTTAAAGTTGCAGCGACTTCATAGTAGTTCATGCACTACTTTTGGTCAGACTTTCATGCAACTTGAGGGCATACCCTTAAAAGTTGCATGAAAGTCATACCTGAATGTTTTTCATGCAGCATTGGGTATGACTTTGCAGAGGGACATGTCGCACCCATCCAAAGTTGCACAATTTTGGAGGCATACAACTGTGAATGGAGTCTTACTGTGCAGTGAAGCTTGTATTGGGATGACAGCTCTGGACTCTGCATCTTTCAAATCAAGTCAGTAGTGCCAGCTTCTATATGGCCCTGTGAAGTGTACTTACTTGTGGGAAATTTGTATCAGATTAGAAAGTGTAACCTATAGATAACTGTGTGAGCCAGTGGTTATCAACTCACATGGTAAGGGGAGCCTCAACTGTGGTCTCTGATGTCACCAATGGACCACGCATAATACCCGGCATATGTAATGCTTCAGAAGACAGTCAGAGAGTACAGACTTGCCAAAGAAAACTTTCAAAGACTGCAGGCATGCTACAGGTGTGTTTGGAGACATGCTGCAGGAGATTATCAGACTGAAGACATGTTACATGAAACCATTGCCATTACAGCCAAAATTAAAATTCTCCCACTACCAACTGTTGAGGTCCAAGGGCTACCACGCAAACATAAACGGGTCACATGTGGCCATTGGGTAGCAGATTGGGCAACTGGGGTATAAGCTTTCTGCTGATTTCCTTTATATCCTCAGCTGTTCATTTTAACCCCTTCCTTTAATAGGGTCTGTATGCTCAGAGGGCAGAAAGGCTCGGTGATCATGTGACCACTGTGACAGCCAGTCAGAGTAGTCACACGGTCAGGAGCCAGTTCTGTCGGTTACTAATCATTGACAGAGACCAAAATATGTCCTGAGAGCTCAGTCATGGGAGTGTACAGTGAGCGTGCTCTGAGCACAAAAACATCAGCTGCCCAGTGATGTACGTGTGTTAAAGACCAACCTTTTGCTACTGTGCATATGTCTTATGCAGACAGCAACAGGTTTAATCCCAATTAAAGTCGTAGAAATCGATCAGCAGCCAGAATGGTAATATATAAACAACCATCACTTTCTCAGAGTTTGACTGCACAGTCCAGTGTACTGTGTAATGTACCAGACCTGATCAGACATATCCCCTCTCTTCTTCCAAACTACTCGAAGTCTCTGTGGAAAAGTTTGTAATGAGGGATATGGCAATTGCTTAGCTATGGCAGTGCAGAGCACTAAAGTGGAAGCACAGGGCGCTCTGAAATTAGGGAAGTCCTTCCTTCCTGTCTTTTGCAAGATTGCCATGATAGATGTCAACCTGTTGGGCTGGGGAGGAGACCTGGACATTTTGGTGGTTCAGGGGACTTGGTCGACTTCCAAGTCTCGTCTCCCAATCAACAGCCTTGAAGACTCCGGCGATTTTGCTTTCTTTGCAGCATTGGGCCATCTGGATAGAGGGTCATGAAAAGTCCATATTCAGTGAGACCGCTCCATGGTGGTGTCATACATCAGTCATCAAAGAAGAACCAGAAGTCTTGGCGTTGTAATTGAGGTAAATTGGATCCTGTCTTTGTTATAATGTTCCAGTTCCAGGCTCATCTGCCAGTTGGCAGGCTTCTTCAGCTGGCAACGTCTGGAACCACAGGAGTGTTCCCTTCATCTGGAGGTGATACAGAACAAACAACAAACTGGAAATGCTAGCGGAAGCAATGGATGCTGTGGTGACTCTGTGGGCTCAGTACACCTTGATCTATGCCTTTCCTTCACTAAAATCTCTTTCTTGTCTACTTCAGAAATTTCTACAATTTTTAAAAGCTAGGAAGTCCGCCTCCTACAAGGTCTGTCATTGGACATGAAAGGTATATTTGGTGTGAATCTTGGGGCTTCCACTCTAGTAGTTTCTTTGCAGGACAACTCCTCCCCTTCCTGCAGCATCGTCTTGGCTCTATAGATTGCCTTTTTGTCATCCCAAAAGGTCCCTGTAAGGGTGAACCAGCTTCTCCCTTCTCACGTATCTAGTTGGTTGGACAGACCATCATCCAGTCTGCCAAGGTAAACAATACTAGATCTGAGTTCTTCCTGGGCTTTTCAGCATCAAGCAGCTGTTTCTAAGATTTGCATAGCTGCTACCTGGTCTTCTGCTCACACATATTTTTTTTTTTTTTTAATAATTTTTTTTCCCCTTTCTATTAGTTGAACTGGATCTACTTTTGTCTTTTTTTTTCAACTAGACTAACTATAGGGATTGGACAAAAATATGGAAAATACTACATGATTTGCAGGTGTGAAAGTGATGACATGTCTCATGTTGAAAGTGGAAATGATGTAACATTCTTTTGCTTCTGCTGTGTGATGAGACACCTAGCTAACAGGTGGGAAGCCTCACTTTCGTCATATACTGCGTGCGCTGCTAGTAATACGGAGTCATGTCAGAGCTCACTGAGCTTCAAAGAGGGCAAATTGTTGGTGCTGCTTAGCTGGTGCCTCTGTGACTGAAATTGCCAATTTATTTGTCATATCATGAAGTACAGTATCAAAGGTTATGACGGCATATGCAGTTTCCAGGAAAACATCGTCTGATAAGTATAAGCACAGTCTTCATGGTCATGGCCGAAAGAGACAAAAGGACATTGCACAGGATTGTGACCCGGAATAAGAAAACAACTGCTTCAAAAGTGACTGCAGAGCTCAATCTCAGTCTTCTAAATCCCATGTGCACACTGCGGAGGAAACTCCATAAACAGAACATTCACGGGCGAGCTGCAATTGCCAAACCACTAGTGACTGATATTATTGCTCAGAAGAGGAGAGAGCGGTGCAACACCCATAAATTGTGCACTATCGATCAATGGAAGACTGTAATATGGTCCGATGAATCGAGCTTCACACTGTTCCCAACCACCAGTTGTGTTTATGTATGGCAAACACCATCACAAGCTTACGACCAGGACTGTCTTGTGCAAACAGTAAAGCATGGTGGCAGCGCAGTCGTGGTTTGGGCAGCCATATCTTGATATTCTGCTTCCCCATCATCACCTTAAAAGGTAGCAACTGTGTACAAATTGTGACCAACCATGTGCATTGTGCAGACATTGTTTTCTGAAGACGGCACCATAGCGATAATGCTCTGATTCATACAGCTGGTGTTGTCAAATCATGGTTTGAGCATGCAGATGAGATCTTGCACCTTCCCTGGGTTCTGCAGTCACCGGACCTCAATATCACTACACCACTATGGTCAATTTTGGAGAACAAGGTTTGGTCTCCTTTTCCCCCTCCAGCTTCTCTGCGAGAACTGGACAAATTTTTTTTATGAAGAGTGGAATCCGATTCCATTATCCACCATCCAAGACTTACATTTGTCAATTCCCAGGAGAGTTCAGGCCGTTTTGGATGCCAAATGCGGTTAAACACCATGATTTCGTTCTTCTGCTGGTGTTTCCATAATTATGTACAAACCTTGTATGTGTTGATGTAATATTGCCGAACCTAAACCAGTTTTGGCTCATCTGACGTCAGCTTTGGGCATAAGGTCATTCCAACAGTTCTTTCAGCTGCAGGCAGTCCCCAGGTTTTTGTTTTCTTGGGTCTGTTTTGCTGTCTTGCTCACCCATCAGTTGGGACGGTTTTTGAATGTCCCAAAGGTTTAGACTTCTCGTGTCCCTCAATGGGCAAAAAGAAGATAGTTTTTTTTTTTTTTTTTTTTTTTTGGTGCTCACCATAACATCCTTTTTTTTTTTTTGGGGGGGGGGGGGGGGAGTCCACAGGTCCCAACCCTCTGTATATTATTCTCTTGGTAGTGCTTTGGTACAAAAGCGAAGCAGGCTGGTAGGAGGGTTTATTCTGGGCTAGCCTACAGTTTCTTTGTTTCCTGTGTCGCTCAATAGCCTCCAACAAAAGGATTTTATGGGGGGGTACAAAAATCCTATTTTCCAGGTTACTCTACTTCCCAATACCCCACCAGTGTTAATGCTGAAGTCGCCACTATGTTTTGGGTGACATTTTAAATATATGATATTATCCATTCTCAAGCTTCATTTTTCTTGAACTTCTAACTACGTGTCTTGTATCTTTAGTCATAGGACTGTGCCGTCTGCTATCTTCTCCCAGGACTAATTCTGGGTGTCGGGGTTTTCAGCCTTTTGATTGCCTGGGGCGAAGGGGAGGGGGGGGGCATTATCCTGCTCATGTGCATGGGAGGTAGTCATTCTGGTACAACAGCAGTATGCTGGGTGCAGCTCAGTGTACTTCCAATAAAGGACTGTGAGCAGGTGGGAAAGTATCTTAACAGACATGGCATGAAGTTTGCTTTAAGCCCCCTGGCAGTATTCCTGAGTGTAGCTCGGGGTAAAGTTTCAGTACCACAAGCGGTAACCCCGAGCTACACTCGGACTTACCATGCGGCGTTGCTCCGCGATCCCTCGATCACTTACTTTGTCCTGCGCTCCCGCGATATCCCTCCTGCAGTGTCCCCGGCAATGTAATCCGGCGGATGCCGGCATCTGTCTTCTGGGTTCCGTTCCCTGCGAGCGTCGGGATGTACGGGGGACGGAATGGCGGGAAATTTGAAAAAGGCAAAAAGTGACATTCACTAAAATCACATAGTAAAACATTCCTGTATCAAACCATTTCACATACATTTTGTCCCTAGTGCTTTGTCCTGTCCCCTGCCTGCATTTTTACCGTTCTTTCTGCCTGGAAACTTAGAAAAGTCCATGGCGTCCAAAAAGCGTCCCTTTAGGTCAAAAGCGGTTTTAGACCGGCTAGAGAATAGCGATAGTAAATCAGAACCACTTGCAGAATTGAGTGATAATGATTCGTGGGGGAAATTCGTCATCAGACACTGAAAACGATTCTGCGACTTTGCTCAGTGATGTGCGAACTTGGCGCTATATTTCAAATTTCAGTGTTTTTGGTTTGATTGTATTATTGAATTAAATTTATTATTATATTATTATTTTTTATGATTTATTAAATTATAATTTATGATTTCGTGTTTCAAGTTTTTTCATACCCGGGATGTTTAATAGACTCTTGTTCGGACAGATTTCAGTGAGTTATTCCTAAAAATTACAGCCTACAATAAAAAAAATACATATTTCCATACAAACAAATGTACCGCTTTGAGCACAGAAATATCAGACCGCTAGGGAGGTTAAGTAGAATATGGGAAAAATAAAAAATGACATGCAATCTGTCAATGACCTCAAAACAGCAGTTTGTTACTTTCAAGTCCCCCATAGTTATGTTATCTCTTGATCTTAACAGTAAATCCATTGTTTTTCCACTTCCTGTAACAGTCCAAGCAAAAGGGACAGTTACTGGGGTTGGGAACAATCGTATAGCACTGCGGGGTTTCTTACAATTGTCATCTTTTTATTTATATATTTAAATCTTAAAAAAAATTAAAAACCCTGTTGCTGTCATTGTATAAAATGTTTCAGCTGCGGTCTATTTAAATCTACATGTCCGTTCTGTCTACAGGGTGACAACACTGCTATGATTTCACTGCAGAATGAACAATGCTGTCACCCTAATTGTTTACATTCTATGCAATTCATTATACTTCTAAATTATATATATTTAATTCCTCTCTAGCAATGACCATACGTAATGGTGGCAATGTGCTGGTGCCGTGTTACCCCTCTGGTGTTATCTATGACCTGCTGGAATGTTTGTATCAGTACATCGATTCTGCGGGCCTTTCCAACGTCCCTTTGTACTTCATCTCCCCAGTGGCCAACAGTTCCCTAGAGTTCTCACAGATCTTTGCAGAGTGGTAGGTAACACAACAGTATATTATAATTTATAGTCAAAAAACAAAATTTGTATACATGTATGTGCTTCAGGTTTCAGTTCCCAACAGTTTCATCCCATTTCCCTAACATTCTGTGTATGTTTAGTCTCCATAAACACCTTAGAAGCATTCCAGAGATCCTCATCTGCATTCATTTCCTTTATGCTTGTGTCTACATTTCATTCTGCTATCTCAATATCTCCCTTTGCAGTTTCCCATTCAGTTTCACTGAGAGCAGAAAGTGTAAGTGATGAGGAGTGGTGGGCCTGGGTGAAAGAACACATCTTTGGCAGCCCTTTAGACAAGCATGTTCCTAGCTGCTGCCACTGCATGGTGCAGTCTCAGAAGCGGGTTTGAGAATGTGATCAAGCAACTGATAGTAAAACTGCATAGCTTAAGTCTACACCATCCAGCGGCCAGCTCCCTCTCTGCAACATGTACATCTACAGGGTGCCTGTATCAGTCTCCCTGCAAATAAGACAGTAAATGGGAGCACTGATGGTCCACCCTCCCCCCAGGGAGAACAAAGGAAAAAAGGGAGGTAAGGCAGAAAAGCAAAGGGGATGTTTAGAAAGTAACAGAAGGGACTACTCAGTGTGATAATGCAGAAAACTATGGAGGAGAAAAAGTTTATTCCCAGATGTACCTCGCACACCTATGCCTGCGAGGAAAGGTCCATATGGTGGTAAGTGGGTGCAGAGGGACACAGCTGACAGCTATGTAATCTGTGTGCTCGTACATCATACAGGCAGACATTTTTATACTGACAGGAAGACTCAGTGAACTACAACAGTGCTGTGGTAGTTCATTGAGAACTACAAGCTGCATCTGCAAAAGATGTCATGACTTGTATTTCATTCATTCACAGAACTCCTGTGGGTTGCGCTATTTAAAAAAAGTGACAGCTTGTACGGGGAACTTCTGCCCATACTACTGTCACAGGAAGAGAAGGCAGTGGCTGCCGTAGTGAGAGCACGTTACATGTTCCAAGCTAAGAACGGGCAGAACATGTAACGTGTTCCCAAAGGTGAACTTATCCTTTAAATGCACAGGACTTTTTCTTTTTATCCACTACTATTCCTTTATAATGGCTTGAATTTTACAAATGAAAAAATGTAGAACTTGACAGGTTAAGGCGATATTAAAAGTTTGTTTTTTATTTTTTTTAAATCACAAGCATGTCATACCTGCTGTGTGCAGTGGTTTTGCACAGCGCAGCCTCGAATCTCCTCTTCTCGGGTCCCCCGCCAGAGCTTTCTCCCTCTTGGGGGTTCTGGTGCTTGCTCACTCCTAAGCCCCGCTCTCTGCGTCCATGAGACACAGCAGAGCGTGGCTCAGCCCTGTCCCCTGCTCCCTCCTAACCGGCTTTGATTGACAGCAGCGGGAGCCAATGGATCCCAATGCTGTGTCTGTGCCACTGAGGAGGCAGAGACCTGGGAGAGCCGCTCCTTTCCTGCATATTGCTGGACCAAGATCGGGTTCAGGTGAGTATTAGGTGGGGCTAGGGGGGAAGCTGCACACAGAAGGTATAAAACCTTCAGCCTTTACAACCACTTTAAGCAGCGTAAAACATTTTTGATAGTGTATTTGTTTTCAGGTATATGCATCAGATCACAAACAAGGAGGAAAAAGGGACTTGTTTCCAAAAGAGAGACAGTCCCTACAAATCAGAGACCATTGGTAAATAGTGATACAACAATGTGGCAGTCAGATGAATAGTTGTGCCACCTCCATAAGGGGTGTAATCTCCCCAACTACAAAACATTTGTAGGCAATGAAATTTCCTTTCTCTGGGGTTCAGACTCATCCAAGGAAAAGCCCAACCTACGGGTAACCCCACGGCAGCTTAGACTCATTAATGTGAGGGTGTCAGTCCCTGCCCAAGCAGTCCCTGTAGCTAGAAATGCCTGTGGATGAAAGAAAGAGTTGAGGGGTGTTATAAATACCGGGGATAGGACACTGGCAGTGCGGGCCAGCAGTGGGTTAGGGGGACCAATGCTATAAAACTCTGAAGTGGGAACAATACGTAATAGAAAAAAGCAAGGGTCCCAAAGCAAAGTAGTGATCCTAGGGGTTGCTGCCCAGGGCCTGCATTATAAACAATGACCAACGTAATTATTTTCTTTTTTGTGCTGGGCAGTTGGGGGAGAAGGAGGTTCAGACCAAAGAGCAGATTGAGGTGAGGCATAGGAAAGGAGGGTTGGACATAAGGAAGAGGTGAAAGGGGAGGAAGGATATGGGAGGACAGGGAGAGAAGAAAAAAGGGATATAGAAAGGAGCAAGGAAGCAGAAAGGGGGAAGAATGGGAACAGGGCAAGAAGAAGGACCAGGACACCATTACAGGATGAACATGTCCGATATCAAGAGCAGCGCCAAAAATGCAAAAGGCAACCCAAAAAAACTTAGTGCCTAGATAGCAGATATATATTGAACAGTTCATAGAAACACTAGACGCAAAAGCTGGGTTAGAAAGAAGACCCCCACCCTGGATGACTCTAGTCTCAGGATAGGCAAGTAAGTCCCTAGAGTCTGTGATGGTCAGCTATGCCTGAACCTGGACACTCCGCAGTGTAAAGCATGGCAAATGATACCATTCATAGTGAGCAGTGTGAGTTCCAGTGGAGGAGGCAATGATTCCATGAAGCAGAGATGGACAGGTTAAATGCTTTGACACTAAATGTGCTATATACACAGAAAAAGGTACAAGGCCCACCCAAGGAACACAGGAGCAGGGAATCATAATCTTATAGTGAGGTAAGGATTATCTAGAGGAGTAAGGTGTACCAAGAGGGTCCAGTGACTCTAAAATGGGTTTGTAACAAAACCGTTAGATGGACTGTAATGGTTGAGTAAAGTAATAATGAAGCCAGCTAAAGCAGTGATTAGCTCCATAGTAGAGGTAGGCAGAATAGCAGGTTCCAGGTTACGCAGAGTGCAGATAGTGATGGGCTCCATAGTAGAGGTAGGCAGAATGATGGGCTCTTTAGGCGTAAACCTTCTGAATGAACCCTCTGCATACTGCTATACACCCTGTCTAGCAAACGTTGCACAAAAACAGAGATTTTTAGTTCACTTACATTGCAATATGTGTTTAAGCGATGGTAAAGGCAGATTTTATTTTATTTTTTTAATAACTAACATGTCATACTTGCATTCTTCGTGTAATGGTTTTGAAAAAAAACATCCCCAGTCCACCTCTTCTCGGGTCTCCTGCCGGTGCTCCTAGCTCCTCCCTCCTGCCAAGAGCCCCCATAGCAAACAGCTTGCTATGGGGGCACCCAAGCAGGCTTGCTCCTGAGACAGTGCTATGTGTGTGTTCATTCACACAGACGTGGCTTGGCTTTGCCCCCCTTGCTCTACCCTCATTGGCTCACCGGCTGTGATTGACAGCAGTGGGAGCCAGTAGAGAGACCTGGGACCGCCGCTGCCCTCGTGCACATCGCTGGATCAAGATATGGGGCTCAGGTAGGTATTAGAGGTGACTGCGGGGAGAGCTGCATACAGAAGGTTTTTTTTTTACCTTTGTGCATAGAATAAATGAAGGTAAAAAAAACCTTCAGCCTTTACAACCGCTTTAAGCTGGTCAGCAGTGTCAGAGTAATTTTTCTCAGGTGTGGTCACAAACCTGAATTATGCGATAGAAGAAAGAGATACCTGTGCTCAAATACCAATCACGTGTATGTACATGTATGTACATGGATATATATATATATATATATATATATATATATATATATATATAGATATATATATATATATAGTACAGTCGTGTTCAAAATAATAGCAGTGTGTTGAAAAAAGTGAATAAAGCTCAAAATCCTTCTAATAGCTTTTATTTCCATCCACACAAATGCATTGGGAACACGACACATTCTATTCCAAATCAAAACATGAAGAAAAATAGATCAAATTTGTGTTGTTCATCTAAAAAAAAAATTGAAGAAAAGTGAATATTAGACGGTTCAAAAAAATAGCAGTGTTTGTATTCTTCTTTACAAACTCAAACATTCACTATATAAACTGAAAAATGTTTGAAGATTTTGCTTTCCTTTGAATCACTTAATGAATATTTGGTTGTAGTCGCACTGTTTCTGAGAACTGCTGTACATCTGTGTTGCATGGAGTCACCCAACTTCTGGCCCCTGTGATCAGGTATTCCAGCCCAGGATGATTGGACGACATTCCACAGTTCTTCTCTATTTCTTGGTTTTGCCTCAGAAACAGCATTTTTTGATGTCACCCCACAAGTTTTTATATTGGATTAAGATCCGGGGATTGGGCTGGCCACTCCATAACGTACATCTTGTTGGTCTGGAACCAAGATGTTGCACGTTTACTGGTGTGTTTGGGGTCGTTGTCTTGTTGGAACACCCATTTCAAGGGCATTTCCTCTTCAGCATAAGGCAGCATGACCTCTTCAAGTATTCTGATGTATTCAAACTGATCCATGATCCCTGGTATGTGATAAATAGGCCCAACACCGTAGTATGAGAAACATCCCCATATCATGATGCTTGCACCACCATGCTTCACTGTCTTCACAGTGTACTGTGGCCTGAATTCAGTGTTTGGGGGTCGTCTGACAAACTGTCTCCGGCCACTAGACCCAAAAAGAACAATCTCACTTTCATCAGTCCACAAAATGTTGTTGTAGTATATTGTGTGTAATATATATATTGAAGACATTGAAACACATACTGACAGGCCAGTGATAAGACCACTTTACACACCAAAAGGACTTCTTACTATGTTAATGTATGCAGGAGGTAATTACCTTCCCTTTGTTGTGTTGGGTTAACCTGTTTTGGGTAAATATATGGAGAGTCAGGGGAAGTTTTAAGAGCAGGTTAGTTGCAAATAGATTGGGAAATCTATTTAACTTTTTAATTAAAAAGTTAAATAGATTTCCCAATCTATTTGCAACTAACCTGCTCTTAAAACTTCCCCTGACTCTCCATATATTTACCCAAAACAGGTTAACC